CGTGGAAACTAAAATTTTCAGCGTCGATATTGATCATTTACCAAGCTAATTCATTTTAGATCTTTTTTACCAATAACACGCACTAACTCCTTGATTAATAACTCATTACTAATATAAATAACTGTTGCATGGCATTCAAAAAAGCTAGTTCCACTAGATTATTGTCATGAGGCTAGTTCATTCGAAATCGGTCATATAAGTCTGTCGAAGACTCGTAACAAATGTGATGGAAATTGCTTCACTACAGCATGAATTCAAATTCAGACACATCTGATACACGCAGCGGACAGTGTTGGACTTGATGTTCATACATAGTCATGGAAGTATTACATTCCATAACGTTGTAAAATGCTAATAAATAAGTTTCATACAGTTATACCATTGAAGCTTAAGGCATGTCTCGTGGTCCATGCTCAGTTGCAGTTTTTCTAAAGGTGCACTTCAGACAAATCTGAATGATTAGATGACACAAGTTCTTCTGTGTAGCTAAATTCTGAAGGCAGTCTCTCATTGTTGCGTCCTCTACGTTTGCTACAATTAACCCCAATTATAGGGGTGACTTTATCCGCAACGCAACCATGTAAGCCTGATGTATCGCCCAGTGTAATAACGGTCGTCTATGCGTTCAAGTAATCACAGATTTTGTCACTTCATAATGTATTTTTGACTAAATAACAAGATTATGTTGTTCATTTTGCTCTGGTTGTAATTTTTATTCGCCACATCTGACTGCGTTACACTGCACGTTCATTGCACGCTGGGATGATAACTCAAGTCATAGTGAGATTAATCACTTAGTTGATTGCTTCCAGAAAGACCATGAGTGCATAATATTACTGAAGAAAGGTTTGCTGTACTGTAAACTATGTTTTTATGACTGATCTCTTCAGCCTGAAAGCAATATGTATATCTTTTTTCTTCTGTTAGGTAAATTCGACTGGCCAAATATTTCGTGTTTTGATTTTATCGGCTGATTTATGTCCATTTAACTACTTTGAGTAACATGTCTGCGTAAATGAAACAATAATTATGACACTTGCTTAGTTTAGTGTTCTTGGTTGTCGTATAATTCAGTTTAGTCGAAAGAATTATGGTATACTTAAGTATAGTGTTTAAAGACTGTAACGAAACAGATCAGTTTATTAAGTAGAGATAACTGTTTTTAATGAGTATATTGATTCAAATCAGTCTGATTAAAAATAGGAAGAAACGGGCCTTTGATGCTGTTGCTGTCATACATTATAAGATAGCGATAAGTATGTTAGGTGTTTATTTCTAGACTGTACATCTAGCACTGACCATATTTCAAGATCACTGTCATTAAACAATTTCCCTAGCAATAACATCGGTATCAAGATAGCTAAGCGTCTGAGCTTTTAGTTGCTCGCAAAACAGCAGTATACAGTCTTAGAAGATGAGTATTCTGTGTCTCAATTAAATGGACAAATGTTAAGAATCTTTTTGACAACTGGGACTTTTAGTTTATCAGACACTAACTCTGCTTGTATGTCTTCCTGTTAAACTAGACGCAGATGCATGGGCATAATTAGATGGGAGGAAAATAATAAAAGCATTATGACACGGTACTGAGCCCATGTTATGCTTCGCACAAGTAATGGTAGCTGACTTCATCTAATATTCATGAACTCAACGTAAATCACAACTGCATAAAGTCTTTGCTAAAAACATGTAATTTGGTTAATTATCTATTCCATATTTCTGACTAAATGCATTACTATTTTCTCATTTAGAATGCAACAGGAGTGAGCCTTCACAGATCATAAAAACTGTTTCGCCCATAGAACTATGGCCCTACGGAACTGTTTACGAGAGACCCAACTAACAGCAGATTATAAAAAGGATACTGGACGTCAATTTTAGTCTCACAACCACTTCCAGCACTTTTTAAGTTACTTCTTTTATCCTTTCGTTTGGAAAAAAAACAACAAAACTGCAGCTTAACATTACCAATGCAACTTTTAAACGAGGACTTCGTTTAAACCTTTGTTTGATATTCGATTCTTAATGAAAGTTCCTGATTAAATTTTTAAATCTATTGCTCCTTATTCAAATGCCGTATGATAAGCGAGCAATGCCCCTACCCGCACTAATGGATTACTAGTAACTCAAAGGCACCCTGTATGGTACCTTACATTGGCCTATGCACTCGCTTAGCCTTTTATTTAGAATATCACTACAGTCCTGCTAAAAATCCCATGGACCCCCTATCTCCATCAAAACAAATAAGTCTGTATTTGCTGCATATAGCAAATTTATTTTTCTGAAGTAAGATATAACAGTAAGAATAGGAGTAAAATGGCAATATACAGCAGATGCACATGGTACATGTTTTCATCGATTAACTGAAATAGAGAATACGGATATTAGCTTAACAGGCTTATTTAGAAAGACTAGTGTCTACTTTGAAATTACTGCATGAGAAAGTTATACTAAAACTACGAATAATGTACGAATCTAGGCTCCCAGAGCGTGCGAAGCACTCAAACTGGAAGACAGTTGTCAAAAAATAATTCGAATATGAAGGTGAGAATTCGCAGGTACTTTTCATAGTAAGGGTGAACATATTAGGTAACGGTTGACATCATACCGTAAAAAGAACACAAATTTACGAGTGGTGATATAAGATCTTTAAGAAAGTGAACTTAATAACAGTTAATTACCCTTATACTCCCTGATCATGACCCTCCGGCTTCCTTTTATGGCCAAAACAGCAAACATACACTACACACTGATAGAAGATTTCTAGTTTTTCAATGATAAGCTTGCTTTAACGCACGATGTAATGAGTACAACTCGTCTATTACTGCTATATGGCATATTTTTCATAACAAACCCTCTGCAATACATTGGTATTATCTGTGACTTCGTCTATAGTTGTCGGAAGTCTGAGTCTGTAACAGCATAGGTTGGTTGGTTAAGAGTTGACCCTAAACAACCAAGCATATGCCAAAACAGTATTGTTCAAGTATTCATTCACTTCCTTATTTTGTATAAGCGTTATATTCCTTATTATCTTATATTGAATGTTGAAAGCCTTTGTTTGTCTGAACAAATAATCCTACGCTCCACTGTGACTGCGCTAAGATCGAAATAAAGACCTATTCACTTCTTGTCTGGCTTCTTCTATCAATAGCACGAGGGTTACCTATAGGCACGAAAAGTCCTTTCGAAAACAATACTGATATCCCCTACTGCTAGGCACTCGGTATCAGTTTGACTCGTTGGTGGTATATTATTGTCCATAGTACTGAAGAAAATTAAAAATTGGAGATTGTTTCCTTTCATTTTGCTGATAACATCACAAAGGAGATAAGATATTTATTGAAGCTTCTATCACTGATTATATAAAAATTCGAACCCCTTTTTTTGGCTCCTAGTTGAACTCTGTTTAGAATTCTCTGTTAGGAAGTGAGAAGGACAACGCGTTGAATGTCGTTGAGATCCTTAAGGTCTTGGAGTCTATTCATTTCCACCGACCCTAAACGACCATATTCTTTTATTGAAAGACTAGAAGCGCCTAAAAAGCGTTTATAATTAAAACTGTGTTCTATTCTCCACTTGATCACGGAAGAATACGAAATTGAACTAGCGGCAGTCGAAAGTGTAGAACATTATAGTTGTAAATCCATAAAATATATACTAAACAAGAGTCCATAGTTTGAAATAGATTAGTATAACAAGTGGAGAAATAGTATACTGAATTACTTCTACGTAATTATCCAGTCCTTGGTTACATCAGTTGCGAGTTTACGCATACCTACGTTGATCAAGCGCCATATTTGCTAGTGGCTGGTGTTTCAACAAGTCTATCTCATTGAAGCATGTAGATGCTACTAAAGCTTGTTAGTGAACCATAATTAGAAAATCATAGAAATAGTAGATCAGTAATTCATATCGATCGAGCTAGCAAGGTGAATATGAGTACTCAATATTACAATATTACACGTGAACACGAGTCACCAGACTAATAGAATAATGTGTTTGCATAAGTTAAACCCAATCGATAAGATTAAAGTAAATATGCGAATTAATAACAAACTGCATTTTTTGGTCGGTATCACTAATCTAGAATTTCTGTCTAACTCGGTAATAGTATATTTGCCTGTTTTACTATAATAAAAGACCTAATCCCAAAATTTTAGATTTTTCATGATACGACAACTTAATCTATAATATATCACGTTGAAGTCAAAGCATAGTCTACACTGACTAGACCTGTCACGGCTAGCGGCAGTATGACGTTAATCACCTCTGAAGGATATACTTTTGCTATGAAGAGAGTAATATACTTAATACAAAAAATAAAAAGGTCACATAGAATGACCACGTCGTCATGCCATGTCATTTCGATTACTGTTTCCGCGTAAACCACTTTTTACTTTCTCTTAGTGTTACATGTAGGATGTGTGTCTTCTAAGTAACTATCCGTCCAGCTTCAAAGATCGTACAGTTACGGATCAATACTACTACAGGCTAATAGTTGCGCGAGTTGCATGGCGTGGAGTACATAATGGTGATCAGGTGACGATGAATGATGAGCTCCTTCAGCAACAGTGTGCTAAGTAAAACTGAAAAGGTCGGGACAAATGTCGCGATCTTAAAAAACTACGTTTTTTGAGAACATGTTCGCTGATATGTAAGGTTATTCGTCAAAATTAAGAGAACGCAGAGCACAGAAGGTACCCTTTGATTCCTACCTATAGTAGACTGTCTTCTAATATGAGTATGCATAAAGTTCGGTTTCTAGCCTCCATTAACAAACAAATGAATCATTTTGTAGTTAACATAGGTTCCATCCTTCTTTCCAAATTTTGAAATCTATCAAAAATGAAGTACACAAATTCACAACGACTTTCATAACCCACCGTCAAAGCACAGATCGGTACCGAAAAACGTTTTGGATAGTGTTTCATAATATCAGGTCATGTACACAAGGAAGTGAACTGGGTTATTTCAGCTCATTACAAAAAATACTTCACGTTGTAATCAGCGGTGAGAACAAATTTGGCCTTGAACAGCTGCTAACTCGTAGAGATGGTATTTCGTAGAGATGTTAAGTACCAGATTGCTAAAAAAATTTTGAAGAATGTTCCAAATGATCACTTTCTCCCGCCGCCTTATCAGGTGTGTAAAAATGTTTCTTTATTTACGTGGACTCAAAGTTTCACAACAATGCTCAGGTTTAGGATAGACTAACATATTACCTAAAGTTTTCAGCAGCATCACCGTACATCGAAAATACCGGTCTCTCCTGTCGCTCAAGTAGTCAAGTAGCATCTTCTTACAAGTCCGTCTGTGCTTCTGAACTTTCCAGTTCATAAACTATATCAATTCTTGACATTATTATCTTTCTCTTGTTAACGTAATTGTGGCTCATCACTTATTTCATGTTGCTACATTTATTCTCGATTATGACTCTTAAATCTTTTCGTTTAGGTGGTTTGATAATCTGAACTGTGAGCCTTTCACTTAAACACATGTTAGTTTTGTGTGGTTTAATTATTCTCCAAAAGTGGGGCTTTGAGAACCTACATATCAAAGTATGAAAGAAGCAATGCTGAGACGTGCTCATTAGAACTTTTTCTACTAAGATTGAGATTAAAAATTAAAGCGTTTGTCGTAGACTATAAATCTACCACTAATATCGTAATAACCTAACAGGCAATCAATATAAATGATATCCATTTTTTCTACAAATATTATAGTACAGACTTCTCAGTGACGTGTCTATTTATTTTAAAGGCTGTAGTGTGGGGAGCAAATATATCGTTCAACACATTAGTAATCACTCGATTTCAGGCTTGAGTACTGTGATACCCGTCTCTAAAAATATGTAATTTAATATCTTCTCTTCGTTGTCGATATCACGTTAATGTATTCCCGATACGTTGAATGTTCACGGCAATACTTAGAGTGGTCTGTGATTCTGTTTTTCCAGCGTCTAATGTCCGTCAGTAAATGATGTTTTTATCCATATATTTTTAGTTACCAGTTAAACTTTGGAGCAGTGACTTAGATTTTGAGACGTTAACATACTAAAAACTACATTTTGATAAACACTTTACGTTGAAAACAATTTTACTATTTACAAAAACGGTCTGTACTGGTGATCAGGTTACATCTAGGTTTTTCCCCATAAGCATTCAATCTAAAAAGGCTGTGAAGACATTTATTCATGATTAAAATACCATTTCCACCCAATGTAAGCCATGTTTTAAAGCCGATTGCTAAAAATTTCTTTTTCAAACAATTTTTCAAAACATTTCATATTATTTTCGTCTGTCACTATACTGACATATTTGAAAACTTGATTCTTTTTACATTTGTCGGTAGCAACACTAATTCTGGGTGACTCGAATTTGTTCTTACAAGATTTCAATTTTAAAAAGTGGATTTCCTCTACATTTTGTGTACATGAAAATCCTCACTTTTAGATGAGAGTGGTCATACTTCACATTTTTCTGTTACAATTGTACGTTATGTATTTTTAATCATGATTTTAGGGCAGAAAGTAGTAGAACGTGTTATTTTCGAATTTGTATTGAAAAATGGAACAGTTAGCCCCCACACTTTCGGAAAATGTGTATATTTCTGTTTGCTCAGTTTGCACAGAATCAATGATTTCACACATGTCATAATCCTTGTGGTTTTAAGATAACGTCTGCTGTCCCATTCACCAATTAAGTACCTGTTTTTTTGTCTCATTACTTCTTTTTGCACTACTTATTATAGCTAGACCTACTAGATGCTGCCTACGAAAGAAATACAATTATATGCTCATCAAATGAACTGAACAAAATGTTTTTCGTCGTAAATCTAATCCGCGAAATGCGCTTCGACAATCCGGGCAAGCAAGTAATTTACTTCACTGATGGTTAGTTCTATATTGCTAAGTGTACATTGTTTCCTTCTAGACGATAAAATGAATTCAATAGACAATTTTTTTACCCACCATACTGGATTATCTTGTTATGGTTTCAAATATGATGAACAAAACAACCAAAAGAAAGATTTTGTGAATTGGTTAACTTCTGTTGTACGGAAATATGATATTGTCCTATTGTCACCTTGGCTGATTCCGGTCATCATAATGCTATCCTCAGTTAGTTTTTTCTCAAATTTTATTCTCCAGGTAAGCTTTTTAATTCCCTATCATATCGGAAAAATCAACACTGAATTTTTCCGCTAAAGATTATTTAGCTAGATAACCTTTAAAGTTTACACAATGTGATTATCTTCAACTACCAAATCTACATTAAAACTTCCCATCAGAACAGATATTAAATTAGAACTCATAGGTATATGTTGTGGCAGTTGTTTATATTATTCGCATTTGGAGCCTTCAATCACAGGTTTTGGTTGTTTGATAAAAAATTATCTAGGAAATCCTCAGCTCTTGTAAGGACTCATATTAACAATAAGATAGGCTACATATATTTGTACAACTGTTCTTAAATGTATTTAGTTCAACCTCAAGCAGCGTGGTACTTTAAAAAAGCCATTCACTGTGAATAGGCAATAATCGACATAGTTAATGAGTTTTTACATTGTAATTTCCTCAAACTCAAATGTTGTACGATTAGACGAAGTCTAGTAAGATGATATTTTTTTATATTGAAGGGGTATTTTAATACTGATATTAAAGTCCTCATAAACCCTAAACGTCATTACTTAAAATTTTTATTAGTTGATGAATTTTTTTACTCGGTACTTCTTAATATGACCAGTTTTGTTTCGTGAAGAATTAATCTTATCTCTCCAAATCATAGTCAAAATTACCGTTGAAGTTGATTTAATATATCTGAAACAATCTTAGGAATATCGAATTACTAAAAAACTCATTAATACGAGTTTTGTGCCATAATTTTTTGTCTTTCAGTATTCTTACCTCCTGGTAGTCGATGAATGTCATATGGTGTTAGATTCAAGTCATCCATTATCAATAGTGTTTGGACCAAATGGTCCGATGCTTCAAAACACAGAAGACTTTGAACAAATGGTTACCGAGCCAAATATGCGTGACTTTAATGTATCAGTAACCGGAAAAGTCAGAATCTTATGCTTTACATCGGCCTTGTTACCCAGGGAAATAACAGATCCAGAAAAGGTAACCAAAATCTAAAGACGTAGTCCTTATATTTTTTTCAAGTGTTTGTCTAGTCAAACCTAAATGCGTTTTATAGTCCCATATTTTTATTTTCTTTGAAACTATAGATCGCGTCATTCTGTAGGAAAAAACTGGTTATAAAATAATAACCAAAGTAATATTCTAGTAAACAGTTTTGAGGAAATTCTCCTTATTATATAAGGCTGTGCGACATCTGGCTTAAATGACCAACCATTTATACAATATATCGGATTTTAAATTTCAAATACAATACTTATGTGTTTCACAAACTACCCAAGGTTGAAAATGTCCCAGTCACCCAGATCAAACTCTGTGATATTTAGGTTATATATGTTTTCTTGGGTTTTATTAAATGTATCAAGGGTTTATACTTCTGTGAAGTTACACTGCATAACAAAGTGGCCATTATTTCACACCTAAGTTTTAAAGTGCTTTTCTTTTGGTATTAAACCAAGATGATTGTTGTTTTTGAGAGTTCCTCCCGAAATCATCTATCGGAATTACTGTAGACTTTATTTATTTATTTGAACACATAAAGATTGGTATAAAGGGGCACCGATTACACATGCGTCACACAAGTTCCTTGATTTGTGTGTGGGCTATGATACTGCCCGAATGCCCAAACCGAAGCAGGTGGTTTTCTTAGGGGGCCACACCCCGAGCCTTCGACCTAAAGATCTGATCCACAAGGCAGTGGATCAACGTCAGGAGATGCAGTCCCATGGTAGCCGGTGACCAACGATTGGTTCATACGCCATTTATTCCCTCAGGATACTGGAGCCCATGTGTGGCATTGATTTGGAATCAGGGTTTTCCAACTCCTCTTAGGAGAATGCAATGAGTAGAACTTCCCTGGCATTGGTTGTATACACGTGGCCATTTGAGCATTTTGAGAGGGAGAGCTGACTCTTCTTACTGTCGGCCGTACCACGGCATTAGTGGGCAAATGTAATGTCGCCTAAACGTCAAATTAGTTTTATTGTGTTCACTTATTAACGTAGCATGTTTCTTGGTTTCCTATTGTATTAAGCTTTTCCTTAGTATTACTAATAAAGAACAAAGCAATTCGTGTTATGCATACACTTTCCATACTTTCCCAGAGATTGGGAGGATTTATTTTCATATTATCAAAATAAATAGAATACAGCAAACATGTGTAACATTTAGTGTATTCATAAATTAATAGTGGTTTACTTTAGCTGTTAAAAATTACAGTTCGACTCAAGTGATGGTACGTAAACCATCAGGCTATAATTAATTTCCAAATGTATAATTTGCAGTCTTATGCTATATTTCTACGTATAATGAAGTTTGTAAAATTCAAACAACAGTAAATACATGATGTTCGGTCCTGAAGATAGTCGCCATCATGGAATAACTTCAGACGGAAAATCATTAAAAATTGTCCAGTATTATGCAGCGGTTTTATATGTGCATAAAACTAGTCACTTTCCAACGGTATACCGAATAAAATAAAAACTTTTAGTACTTTCATCATTTATGCTAATTTTCACCGAATCAACTGACTCATCTTTCAATTTTCGTTTATTTACAAGCAGCACCTAACGCTATTATTGAGTGCTTATCCTCAACCGCGATTCACCACAAGACCTGAAATTCTTAAATTTAATACACCATATTAGTCTGAGCTTTCACGTTTGTAAAAAGTCGTGAAGGAAAACAAAGACTATTCAGTGTTACTTTGTTTTAAGTGGTCCTCTAGCTAGTCTCAGTTCGCAGTTGAAGTTTTCCTCAATCCAAGCAGACCCTCGTATACTAATTAATTCAAATTTTTTCTGAATTGCTGGTAAATTTGTACGATTTAATGTATAAGTAATACCAGTCTCTCTATCTTTATTTTTCAAAAGGCACGATTACGCTTGCAAACACTTGAAAAAAGAACTAGTTGTCAACTTGAAACTGCTTCAGAGTTATTAACTATGCTTTCACTAGGTGCGAGACCCCAAGAACGTGTTATATTGTGTTCCAAATCGTCCTCAACTGCTGCAATACCTTTCCATCAGTTTATGTTAGGAATCTTTCGAGAGATTAAAGAATTCATCATCGATATAGAATCCAATCTATCTTTTACAAAGAGTTCATTAATAGGTGATTCTACATCTGTGGTTATTAATTCTGGAGGTTTTCGTGTTTGTGTACTTGACTATTGTAAACGTGCTATATCTCAGTGCGAAGAAATATTAAATGAATTAGGCTTATGGTGTGCTGCACAAATTGTTCGGGTATTTGCTAAACACCTAATTGCATTAGACCGACAACGTAGTGAAGTTTTTAAAAACTGTGAACCGGTGAATAATGAAAAACAAAAAGAAGATAAAGAACAAAATTCATCTACTTGTAGATCATCATCATACAAAGCAGACGTACTTAAAGATACTGAATATTCAATTACTATACCTAAAATAAATGATACTGAAAATCGTATATCTTATCTTTTACGTCATACTGTAACACAGATGTGTTTTCTTAGTCGTTTATTTCAAATGGAATTCGATTCGTAAGTTAATATTATCTTTTGTATTTTTTCCCTGTAAATAAATGAAAAAAATGTTATCTTTCGCCACTCTTAGATTTTACTAATTACTGTTGTGGTTGTAGTAGAATTTTTCCCTTTGACAAATTCATGTTTACTTGTATTGCGGGTTTCATTTGCTCTTAGACTGTGTTTACTGTAAGTCCAAGTGTACCGCTGTCATGTGATTTGCCTTTTTTCATAGAGAAACCTTTCAACTTTGTTTAATTACTCGTTTGATTATTTTAAATGGATATTTTAGGAGACTCAAGGTTTTTTGTTAAGTTAATAATGTAAAAGTCAATGTACTCAAAACAGCACTCTGTGTCCTGTTACTGATGCTACTGTTAATGCAAATCCAAAAAAATCTACGTTCCAGATATATGATTTCTAACCATTAAATCATAAGTCCTCAACTTTCATATCATATAGTTTATCTTGGTCATACAGATTAGAATTAGAGCCCATTAGTTTTAGCACTATGTTATCTGAGAAGTGACACTAGTCCTTGAACTCATTGGCGGCTAAATTGAGTTTGTATTAATAGTTGTAGACTACCTGGTTGGAGTCCAGTGGTTAGAGAGTTTGAGGGACATGCTTGAAAATCGCTCTCAATGTCGGAGGTGCATTCACACGCTAGCTTTCTCTAAAACCTGAGTCGTGAAACCCCCTAATACCTTTTTGCTTAGTTTTCGTACACAATCTTTTCTAACACTCCTGATACTCAGTACTTTTGCTACTCTGGTATTTGTCTTGGAATAATTTTATCTCACTGCGCTCTGCTAATCTGAGGAAAGTTGATTATGAATACAGTGGTCTTGAGTGTTGTTAGAAGTATGAGGGCAGTTATCACTTCCCGGTTGCCCACACCGTGGAAGGGTTCTTCTGGAGGTGCCTGAAAAGGAAATCGGATTAGAGGTGGTCTTAGTGATCTGAGAGCGTGACTACAGTGCCCAAGGGACAACTGTGTGAGGTCGGTCACACACGACCTTTTTATGAGTAATTTTCGTGTTAGCTCCGTACTTGTTGAGACCTTATCGCTGGAGACAGATATCCGTGGGATAAGGCGAGGTGTGAATTTTCAGGGTCCACCTTTTCTAACCCCACCCCCCTTATGGGAAGGCAGCATCGCTGTCATACTAGTTGTCTTAAGGAAACACCTTACTACCGTCACACCTCCATACAGTTAGCAGTATGTCTTCGCCCTCAGACCTTGGGTTTGTTGCTTTTAGTCTTACCGCTCTTCAACCGACCTGTCTGGCATGGTAGGATTTTGAGGAACGACTGTTTCAGCCAGAATAACTCGATTAATTCATCACGATAGGCAAGCCCGACCACCACATCAAGGTAGCAACAACAGAATAATTTGAACCAATGTACATGTATCATGTTTAATTTTGTGTATAACTCACTGATCGACTGAAACATTGATCATCATTCATAATCTATTGATTTTATATGAACACCCAAACGGGGGAATAGGTAGTGTTTTGACTTTAATTGTATGGGCTCACTGGTTTACAGTCGAGTGTTCAAATTACAAGTATGGATTTGACGTCTTGGCCTACAAGTTAACAAGTAGATTGAGGGGTAGTGGTCAAAACGTTCTTTTTTAAACACTGAATCACAGGTTTGAACCATATCCACTTTATATAACTGGGTAGTATAACTGTCCATCACACAAAGGGTGTAGTCAGAAACTGGTTACATAACTGTTTACTTGATTGCTGGGTTACATTACTCGAAAGTGCAACAAATATAATTCCGGTATCTAATCTTCATCTGTTAAGTATAAACTTTGATATTAAATTCGTACTTTAAGAAGATAATTTGATAGATGTGTTTAATTCTCTTTTCTACTCGCTATCAAACACTTCTTTTCTATTCTTGATTTATTTATAGTCTTGACTTAAAATGTCATTAGTCAATAGATTTTTAGATGAGTTTCATTCTACGAATATATTTTTTTAAACAATATTCTAGCATCAGGAATGTAGTCTACATTCATCCATAAATGTAAACCACTCTTAAATTTCACATATATTTATTTTTGTTATTTTTTTCAATAGGATATTAACGTTGGAAGAATTTCGACGTATGATATCGCCTAAGGTATTAAACCTTATTGAACAACTGAAATTGTACAAACCAAGTATGAATTTTCGTATAGAAGTAGCTGAATTGCCTACTACTAAAAACTCACCGATAATTACCACAAACAAAAAATATCGAAAGGGTGGAAGTCGACAACGTGGTGGTCGTTGTCAAACATCCAAAATGTCAAATTCATCTTCATTGTCGTCAATGGGTTTCATCTCATGTGATGTAGATTCATTGTCCGATAGTATGTCAGATACAATGAGTAGTTTATCAGACGATGATGATGATACACGAAGTGTTCGTAGTTTAAATTCTACGAAGTAAGTTTACTCTTTCTTTCAAAGGGTAAACCCTAATTTTCAATATATTAACTCACTTTTAGGTGCAGATTCTTGTGCTTGGCTTTGAGCCACACTTTAAGTGTTGAGGGCCAGGAGGTAGGTGAAGCGGGGCTCAAGCGTGCAAATTAGTGGCTGGAAGTCGAACACCATCACTATGTCACCGCTCAGCTATTGCCTACTTTCTGTTAATACGTACGATGAATTTATTAGTTTGGACACAAACCTTGATACAAGGGGGCACTAAATACATATGCACCACACAATAACAATGAGTCTGAAGAGATAGAAGATGGAGGGTAAGTATAATAATAAGAAGAGCAACGATGAACAGAAATTAATGTATGAGAGTCAAATAATGATAATAATAATCATAATAGTGGGATAGGCAGTTCGGTTAGGAAAAATACAACCAGAAATAATTCTTTCAGTTAAAGAAGTTACGTTCACGTTTATAAAGAAAGTAAAATAAGTTAGAGCAGAATTGCCACTGATTTATATTCTGAACCATTTCTGATAACGTCTAAAGCTATTGTGTTGCACCATCTATATGACCTCAACCAGGGAGTTGTGAAGGACCAACAGAAGCCAGTCCTGTACAGCTTTTGTCATACCACTACTGATTTTTCCAACTGGTCCAAGTGTTGGTAAATAATGCACGACGAAAAATTATCTGGGACGACATTCGTAGCACATTTCCAAGCCACCGAAATCGATATTCCAAGATGATAACACCAACTCAGTTGTCGTCGCCCGAACACATGACCCTGAACCTCTGCATTACTAACATGGTGTTGCCACTGGATGTCAGCAATCTTTCAGAGAAAACGATGATTAAACATAGATAGTTGTCTAATATCCTCAACTCGGAGAGACCAGGTGTCACAAGTATAGAGAGAAACTGCTCTCACCGACTTGTTGTAGACCCAGCGTTTTACAGCCAGACTGACACCACGAAGGTACCAAAGATGGCCCAGATTGGCATAATCCGCTCTGGCTTTAACTATACGTGAATTATTCTCATCACTCATGCCATGAAAAATAGATTAGGATCAAGGTTATTTACGTACAAAGTATCTAGAAAACATTCTATTTTAATTATAATCCAGTTTTGTTCGATATGATTTTCGACATTGTAGACAAAAGAAATTACCGAAGTCTTGGATCATCCAGTTACTGTGCGATGGTGGCTATATGGTTAGGAAAAAGTTGGCTTCCAATTACTGCGGGTTGCAAGTCCGAACCCTATTTAATTTACTTAGATCTGATCGCTTGGATGGTATCACCAGCTGTTATAATTTCTCTTATTATGACTCAGCTACTTCTGTTGCTTAGTATTCTGGGACACCGATTCAATCGACAAGTCCCCAAATCAGAACACGGTTGGACAGGAGAAAAATTATATCCCAAATAACAAGGGTAGATGGGAATAAGAAGCACATTCAGATAAACGTCAGTATATTTATAGTTTTAACACTAGAAGATTGTAGAGTCTTCGCTAAGTACCCACTAGCGCTGATGGTATGTGAAATAACCAATCAGTGTGCACCAACACAATCTTGCATGGAACGTGCTTTGATCCAAATTATATTCCGATAACACTAGCCGACACATCATATGTGTGGCTTAAACCGAAGAAGTAAATCTGTACTTGTTAAATGAGTTAACTTTATATGAGTTAAATTCAAACCATTAATTTCAAACGTCTCAGTAACCAAGTTTTGATAGGTTTCAGTTATGTCTTACTTAGCACTTAATCACATCTAAGCTGTTCGTCACCGTGTTTTAAATTTTGCTAAAAAATGCATAAGCCTATATCTTAAGTCTGATTCATTTGTCAATAAGTTATACATTTACTGGTTCGTCTTCATATACAATAAGAGAAATTGAGAATATTAAAAATGTATGTGGTTATTATGTGTTCAGTATTTCTACTGTATTGTCGACACTAGTCAATGTGCATATAAACACAGTATTTTAATGATTAATCATTGTATTAAAATTGAGATCTCGGCTCAGTAGCCTAGAGGTTCAGCATTTGTGCCCGAGACCGAGGATCCTAGGTTCGAGTCCAGCGTTCGAGGTTGTAAATGCACACTGCTGAGGTGTTCCATATTGAGAAGAAACGGCCGTCTACTGCCTCCAGGTTTTCAATGGTAGCCTAACATTCGTCGGTTCATCATCTCAATTTAAACAGAACAATCCCCACGACCCATGGACTGATAACGACACAAATAATGTCAATTTTTTACAGTTATTCGACAATACAATTAACGGTCTTTTGTTTGTCAATCTTTTATGTGAAGCAATGACATAAATTAAAATAATCATATAGCTTAATATATTCATGTGTTATTCGATTGCATTTAATTATAGAACAATTACAATTTGTTGTTGTTGTTTTGTACCAACATCATGATTCATTTAATTTTATCTATTTATTTATTTAATACACATAAATTTAGGTATAACTGAGCACTAATAAAAGTATGCACCATGCAACTAAAGAGATGATAACATTATGAAGAAGTGAAGGAAAAATGAGGGTTAAAATGGAGAGAACCAAGTGAACAACAGTAGTATTAAAGTGAATGTGATGTTCACCTTCGATATACACCCAAGGGAGTTTTTTACAGTTAAGGGCATTCATCTCACCGTTTTTTTTCGAAGAATGTAAAAGGAAACTACAAGAAAGTCACTGTCGGCTTCCATTTTGATCCATAGCTGTGATAATGTCTCAAGCTTTCATTTTAATATGCAATTTCTCAGAATTTTTATTTGTCCGAACCATTACATTTATTCCTCTTAAGCTTTTTGTTGTGTATGTGTGTGTTTTCACCAACAGATCTCGCCTTTCTACGCAATCCATGAAAAATTTGAATTCATCATCCAAAAGTCGTAAACGTAAAAGTATGTTTATATTACAGTGTAATCCATGTAAATCCTACTGAACTATTAATTGTTTAAGTAAAAATTGAGAAATCCTTTTTTAAATTTCGGCATATAATAATATGTTGGGTCAATCGAATATGGTCCAAAAAAATTAGCTCACGCTACAAGCCATTTCACTTTATAAGGAAGGACATTCCGTTGGTTAAAAATGTGACTTCATTTTCTAAGGGAAAAAGTTGCTTATTTACAAATTAATGTACTTATATGCTTGATTCGGTTTTAGTCATTAAAGCTTGCTCTCACTCTTAGTTTTCTCATTCAAATAGCTGATTTGGGGTTTGTGTGCGTACCGGAAGGTTGTGTGTCACTATCAAACTTGGACAACCGCGCAACATAATAAATAGTTAGGTTTTTGTTCAAATGTCTGTATAAAACTTTCTATAACTATGAGAACCATGTGATTAATATTAGTATCCTTCAACTATCTTTTCTCTAAGAACTGCTAAAAAAAGAGGGAGAGTAGGTTCTCTCTACTCTCAGCCATATCAGGGTATTTGAATATTTACACTATTTCGGGTACTCAACTGTAATAAATTTTGTGTGCACTAAGTAAATAGGAGAAATCCGTTAATTTTTTTTAATTATTTTTCATTCTTAGATAGATCGAACTCTTTAATTAATTCGTTCAATTTACACGATCTTCATTTTGTTCCCGCATCTACACTAAACAATGGCGGTATTAGACCAGATGTTGATCCTTCCACATTAGTTTATCGTGCTGTTTTGAATACTGATAATCGACACAATAAAAATTATAATCGTTCAAAATTCACAGACCAAGAATCATCTGATATGACTGCTTCTACAAACAATAATAACGATATCTCATTTAATCGTCTCTGTGGTTTAATATTAGTCCCATGTCAATTCTCAGCTTATGCATTATCTCGTTTGATTGATGAATTATGTATATGGGATGTTGATTTGTATTTTATTAAAATTGGTCATTTATTCTGTCGTCAAACTTTATTAAAAGAGGATAATGATTTGTCAACAACAACAAATCAAACATTGAATAAAACAAAACATGGTGCAAATTTTAATTCATATAAAACACTTGTAAAATTTAGTAATGAACCTGTGAATAATAATGGTAAGGAATCTGTTGAATATTTTCTGTGTATGTAGTAAACAATATTCTCTAAAATGAATTCTCTTTAATTTAAGAAATATTTTAAAAGTTACTTTTTATTACAGACATTAAGGGTTACTTATGTTCAATGTTTAAGTTTGAAACTATTTCTGTCATTCTGAATTTTCTATTCCATGATATAGATACATGAATTTTATTGTCAGTCAATCAGTCATAGTGAACATAGGAAGTGGCATAGGAACATAATTATCCAGGTTGCTAAGACCACTACTAATTCAGCTTCTTCTTCAGGTTCGTCCTCTGACTGATCCAAGTTGTCACAATACGCTAATTAGCGGAATTATATGAAAATAACCAGTTAGTTATTTAGTACAGAGAAGTCAAAATAACAATAATGTCAATAACTGTAAATAAGATTAAACATTGCATAATATGATTAAGAATGAGAGAATGAATTCACGAAATAAAAAAGAATGGAAGAATATTGAAACTAACTTTGAATCATGTCGCTTAAAATGGTCACTAACCACTGATCATGATTTTCCAGTGTCTTAATCACATAGTACGCTCCTACCAAAGCGGCTCAAAACTGTATTCATCGAATTCATGAACCGATATCTCGTCTCGGTATGCCAAACCGTACCTCTTGTTCCAATTTACTCTGTATCCTAGATGTTAAACAAGCAAGGGAAAGCTTTGAACTAAGCTTATTGTCTGAATCTGGTAAAGTAACAGTGGGCAGTTACTTGTCGTATTTTAAATCAATCAGCTGTAAGTATCTTAATATAACAAGAACTTAGCCTCTGTCCGAATGGCATAATGATAACATATCAATCTATGAAAATGAATCACTCAAGTTTGAATACACTAAAGGGCGTTAGGTCCTTCAAGACTCCATTAACTTTTATTAACGAGTTTCAACTGCACAATATCTTAGTTCGTTAGGGTTTTCTGCCGATCATCTCCAATCATTTAATATTTAAACATAATGTAAGCAATAATAAATATATTTTTTGTTATATCCCAATGAGTAGAAAAATTGTATTTCTGGCGTTTCGTGACTTGAATATAAACCACTTCTTTAGAGTAAACAGAAAATGTTGAGTTATTTAGACTACTGGTCACATTAAAGTTTAACCAATAAAATTCGACCAATACTAATAAGTAGACAACGATAACATTGGTCACTATACGGTAATCGTTCAATTGTATTTACTGTAGGATTTAATTGTGTCTTCTTTTCATTTGAAAACTATTTGGAATTACAGTTAATTTTTATCTATTTCAATTTACAGATTCTTCAACCAATAATAATAATAATAGTAATTGTCGTAATCCATTCTCTGTTAGTCAAGAAGAAACAATAACTAATTTTCGTCGTGGTGCTATCAATTTACTAGTAGCTACTCAGGCAGCAATTTCAACTGTAACCACCAGTGGCACTGAATTGCCACGTTGTAATTTAGTTATTGCATTACGTTTACCGAATAGTTTAGCTGAATACTTGTCCAGTAAAGCCAGATCAAGATTGGTTAATTATGGTGCAAAGGTTATTTATCTTATGGATCACGATTCTATTGAAAAGATTAATAATAATAATAATAATAATAATAATAATAATAATAATAATAATAATAATAATAATAATAATAATGCAAATAAAGAGTCAAATTTAAATGGTAAACAAAACAGGACAAAACAAAAAGATAATCTTTCTGCTGTTGATTCAATGTATAGTAATCATATAAATGATCAATTTTTGGGCAAGTAAGTGTTATTCCTTCTTTTTTCCTTCCTCAAAATTGCTTTTATCAACCTTTATTACTATTAATATGAGTTTGAGTTATCGTATTGTTGATGTGTAGGATTGAACTTACATCATTATTATATGTTGACACATGTGAATACTTCATGAATCGTCTCAATGTAACCATTATATCAGAAGTTACTTGAAATTAAAGTTACAAAGTTCAATTTCTTATGTGGACATCAATACATACTAGGGTGTTAACGTTATGTACAACTAACTGGTGTGAGCCCCGAATAAGCTCAAACCCGTGTCTTAAATTCCACTGCTAGTCATCCATCTATTATAAGTAGCTTTACCAATGTTTATCATTTTAAAATGATTATTTTGTTTTAGGTATTTGTATCTTGTAATGTGTTTTGTTAAAAAATGATTTTGCATTTTTGTCTTTACAAAAATACTTTTCAGTTTTCAACAACTTGAACAATTGTTACTTCAACGATGTAGAGGTTATGATGTCTTTGCAGATGAACATGCAGTTGATCCAACGGTAGTTGACAAAATTCTACCGCCAATTTTTCCTCGTGGCCCACGTGGTCCAAAAGTTAGTTTTCAAGTTTCTATACAGACTATTTTGCTGATACATGTACACCTACTTTGCTATTTTATTCGTGCTAATAATTATATACTGGGATTCTTATTTTTTTTAAAGACGAAAGTCTCAAGGCGGCCTAATCCGGTATCTGACACTAACCCATAAAGCAACTGATTGCTAATTACGATGTCTAACGAAATGTTATCTTGATTTATTGTTCAGGAAATATTACATCACAAATAATATGACATGAAATTGATCATAATAATCCAAACGCATCCACACTCTTCATTTTCTTTTAAATAATGACAATTTCATCAACCAACATCTAACTGCTCCGCATCCACCTGTATCTTTTATTTAAATCTGCTGATATTTCTCACTCTTGTTTTAACCCACTGTTCGTGTAGTGTGTACTATGGAATATGACAACGTAAACAAGTTTATCTTTTTCCAAAGCTTTGCTGTATATCATTTGAGTCTGTTTATATTATCTCAGTCAGTCACAACTTAGAACTAGGTACATATGTACATCGGTTCGAGTTGCAATGTCCGATTAGAATAAAGAGGTGACATTATCAACCCGAATCCCACAATAGAAAAAGTAGTAGCACTATCAGCGGTGATTAAAAAGATTAGGCATCGAAGATACGATTTGGGAAGAAAACATAAACTAGTAAAATAAAAGCACAAAGACGTTATAAGGAATTTGGAATCCCAGAATTTGGGGTTGATGATGAATGGATGAACCTTCACCATTGGAAAAGATTCTGAGCATGTCACTCAAAGTGTCTAATCACTCGTTACGATAATTATGTGGACTCCAACCAGGTAGTCTACAGTTATAAACATGGCTAAGCCAAATTGTCAGTGGCTTCATGGACTGATGCCATATTTTGGTTTGTTCGCTCCTAGCTTTCTACCAACCTACTCCTACACCACGCAACATCGCCTGTCAAGAAAATCCACAACCCTCTAGTTACAGCTTACTCTTTTGTCTAGCTCTACTAGCGTTTATGCTGACCTTAACTACCTTCTATGAGATCGATTTATACCCCTCAATTTCAAGTGACACCACACGTAGACATTAAAGAGTTTCTCAATAGGCATGACAAATCTACATTCAATTCTCAAATCCCTCTAAATTACTTTACAGGCTTACGTATACAGGTAATCTTGATACAAAACAAGTTGTTTCGGCTGATTTTTCTTATATTTTGTCCCGTTTTCTCTGACCTCTTCAGTTCTGCTTATCGAAAGCAATCAATGTGATCAATCAATACTGTGCTCGTCTTCCTAGTGATTATATAACAAATTTAACTCCGAAATGGTATTGGAAAATATTTCCCCAACCTCAAGGTTTCACTCCTTCATTAACTGGTCCAGGATCAACCTGTGGTTCACTTAAAGATTTACAACCTAATGGAACGTTTAATTTATATCAATGTGTTTTACGACTACCAATCAATAGTTCAGTAAAAGAGACAATAGTTGTGAGTTTAATATTTCATTTCATGACCATTTATATCTAGTTATGTCGATATTATAATTGAGGTATTTCGTTGGAGGGGTTTTGCCAATGTTAATTTAATCTGTAGCTAGTATTTATCTTAAACTGAAATAAAATTCTGTTAGGAATTCGTGGTATGTGGGATTCATTTATGTTTCAAGTAAAGCAGTCGTCATCTTTGATATTGGGTGATCGTGATGTTATATCATGAACTGATCGGAGTTGTAAATGTGTACTATTGAATCTAAACGCAAGTGATCTAATGAGTTCTGTAGTTTAAACTCAATTTAAAGGAAATTGATAACTGACGCTTAAAATGGGCAAATTTCCTCCTAGATGTATTGTAATTTCACATCCATTAAAACTAGTAAGGTACGGATAATTACTCGTCGCTCCATATCACAGACAACTCTATTCGGACCTTGTACTTAAAAAGTAACTTTTGTGAAAAAATATAAGCAGTAAGTTGTTATCAATAGTGAATTCTGAGATTACAGATACGTCTCGTTGATGAGTGCCAGCTTGCACGAAACATACTATCAGGGTTTCTTAGCAACTGCCTTCAACCATCTAATGGGAAATTCAAAAAACTATTTCTGTACGAATTACATCGATATCAAAGCATACATTAGAAATACGAGCTTGTTCAACTTTCAATAGAAACCCCCTATTCTAATATCTATTCATTTTTTAGTAAATACTTTTATCAGATGGTTTTTTTTGTGGAGATTGTAGTAATTTCAATGGTTAAGATCAGGAGTCAGTTGAAGCTAGACCACCATGGAAATACTTTTATCTTAATTTGTTATTTACGTACTACTTTTAGGGTGAACCAATGGTGTGTAAGAAACTAGCCAAATATTCAGCTGCCTTCAATGCTATTCACCTTTTATACTTAAGTGGTGAAATGGATTCTAAATGGGAATTAATTAATCGTGAAATTAATCCTATGCATCATTTAACAAGCGAAAGTTATGATAATTTGAAATTATCTTCTCAACACTCTCCAATGAAATGCAAATCATTTTCCCCTTTAAACGATTCCGAATCAGATTATGGGGATTATGCATCGTCAATTGGTTTTTGTGAATCAGCCGATGATGAAGAAGGTGAAATAAAGTCGAACATACAAAATTCTGTTAAACGAAGACAATATTATTATCGTAAAGTAAGTAGTAGTGTTAGTGTTATTGTTCTTGTTTTTGTTGTTATAGAATCATATCTGTTTAATATTAAATAGATGAAATGTGGCTAGCGATGGAATTCAGGATGCGCGTTTCATTCTATTTAGGACTGGTCATCTAGATGCACGGCTATTACTGCCGTGTCTATCTGTATATGTTCTCATCTAACTTTTACGTTCTCATTATTTTTGTTAAATCAGAATTCAAGTTAGAAAAAGTTTTCTCGTCTCCAGTATCACCAGTGATTTTTTTGACATTTATATTAAAGACTTGTCTTAAAAGAGAAGGACTTGAGTTCACGATCGATAGATCACTACACTTGACCACATGATACTCTTGACTCAATAATGTGACCTAAAATCACGAACCAGTTTAGACCAGAGGGAGAGTTTATCAATACACAGTATGTGGAGTCAACAAGTGTAATGCTTTTTTACATATAAGGTAGCCATCAGTAGAATTATATTATAGTGACAGTTTTATGATAGATTAATAATTCAAACATGATAAATAAACGAAGAAAGATTAGAACTAAGTATTAGGAGTCTGGTTAGAGTCAGTAGTTGGAGTTATGAGGCTGCTTTTAGAGTTGTTAAGGTAAGGAGTGTCGTGGTCAGAACATGTAGTTAGCATTTGAAAATACTTTTTAATCAATCCTGAACTATTCCCTAAATCACATCATACACTCTCAAATAGAATCTGCATATGGAGCACGTATTTCTGTTAATTTAGCTTAACAGACCACGTTAAATTGATTGTGCAGTTGCATAAAAGTTATTTTGGAAAATTTTATGTATTTTAGAAGTTAATTATAGTCAAGATTCACTCTTAGATATATTCTATCCTTCAATGGTTTCTGAATTTTATGAAAAAACGTCTAGGCCGCAACCTAAATCTGTTTGGCTGCCTAAAGGTTTTCACTATAATGTAGTTGTACCTAGTCGTTTATATTTGGTGTACGCAGATATGTCTGTCTTCGTTCATCGACCAGTCGTAACTTACACTCACTAGACAAATTAGAGTTAAGCTTTTACTCTTGTATACCCCAACCAAAAAACTTAAACCTCTGTACATTACTTATGACTGTAATCCATTTTCTGTTTCAATAACTTTCAAATCATCAATTAATTTTCAGCCTTCAATCACCCAGTAGTAGTAATCTGTGAAATAATTCAGAACTACTTTCCATAAGAGGTATTTGGTTGAAACATTGTACGTTTTGATTAAACTCTTATTCCCTCTTCTATCTATGTCTATTCGATTTCCATATCCACTGTTTCCTTGTCCGCCGTGTAAATACAAGGATAAATAAGCTCTGTATCTCGCTCATCATCATTAAACTGGAGTGAACACATGGGCTACCAGGATTTCCAATGTGTGAAGATTTTCAGTCCATAGCAATCAATTAATTTCCACAATATCCTTTTTGTGTTTAGCTACGTTTTCCAATACCACTCATTTTCATTTGTTTAAGCTGTAGGTAAGCCCTTCAGTTCTATTTAACTAGAACTAGGTAGTTTTATCGTGAATTTAGATACACTTTTGCTCCATTCCTTTCTTTTTTCAGTTCCCTACTCAAATGTCCAATTGTTTACCTCAACCTAATGAACCTTCGTCAAGTTATCTTTATTACATTGATATGCGTTTGGTTAAACCGTTTGCAGAACAACAATATTTACGCGGTCGTGTATGTCATCATCCTGAAGATGAACCGATAGGCTTTGGTTTACTCACTACCAAACCACTACATCATGTAAGTATGATGCGGTTTCATTTTTGCCTCACATTTTTCGTCCATATTCTTTTAAACATCAAACTACGTCATTTGTTTTTAATGTAATCAATAGGTGAATCTGAGTTAGGTCAGTTCATAATCTCAAGAACAATCAGCAGTCTCCATAACCGATTTTACCACGAATCAATTAAAGTTAAACGTGCAAACCATTAAATGCTATCTCACTTGTTTACAAATTAAGGTCTCACTGTATGGCCTGAAAGTTTTAGGTGCGATCCTCGGTATGGTCGTGGATGCGCATTGCTGAGGAGCTTAATACCAGGACGAAACAACTCTCCAGTATGGTTGCCTCATTTAGGTCTGTTCGCGATTTGTTTAGGGATCTAAATAAGTTAATTTAAGCACTTGACTCTTAATTTATGATTTCCTCACCACTTTTTAACATTTTTTTAGTTAATTTGATTTGAACATCAAAAATATCCTTCAAGAAAATCTATACCTGATTTCCTAGGTTTCTTTTACAGTTATGTATAGCACATAGTATGAACAATTTTTACCGGTGTGATAGTAGACTAAAAGCAAACTAGAGGTGGCTAAATTAAGTTATGGATTCAGTCGATGAAGTTATTGACTGTTAGTGTGAGCCACTTTCGTTGATTCAGACTACCTGATTGGTATCCACACGATAACCCCTACCATTAGTTGAAGGTATTGTACGGCATGGTTAGGAATTGGCTGTACTAACACAAATACATTCACTTTTAATCTTCTCGACTCTGTCTTTTCGAATCACTTTCCCAATGTTCAGTTTTTTCATTGTTATTTCTTCTCAGTTATTTTGATCCCATTACTATTCATTTTCTTAATTTCATCTTATCGTTCTATTATGAAGTTATGGCATCTTGAATCGACGTACGTCTCTGACAGTTTCTACGTTGATGTGATGACAGACTATGTACTTGCTTTTATCTAACTTTTGAAAATACTTCTTTGGTTATTTTTAACCACTATTCTACTCATTGTAAATTTTAAGTTTTTGAAAATAGTACTATATTGTTGAAAATTTTCTATTCATGCATTTATGTTTTTCTTCATTCTAGATACCTATATTTCCAATATTTAGTAGATCTGGTGAAGAAAAAATTCGTTTTATTGAATTATGGTCACCAAAATCTAATTATCAATTCAATGATCAATATTTACCTATTCAAAGTCCTATTTTAACACAAGAACAAATTGATCAACTCATTAAATTTCATCGTATACTATTCCAGGTATTCAAGTCTTCTTGTCTGCTGTTGTTGTTGGGATTATCGTCGAAAATTAGCCATTGAGAAAGAAACAGATTGTATATAAATATTTTGTTAAGTTTTTTTGTCTAAAAACTCTAGTCAGATATCACTTAAAGAGTATGGCATCTGTCATAGTATTGAATGATTCCTTCTTATATGAATTTATATTCACGAACATATCATGTTATAAATGACATCATTTTGTCGTACTAACTAGAAAGCGCAAATTACCATCGCCTATATGTATATACATATCAGACGTTATGAACGTGGAACTCCATTATTCATCCACCTAATAGTGTGTAACCGAATAGGGTTGACAATTTTAGAGAAAAATTTGATACTTGCAAAATACGTACTCTCACTCTTATTCTGTAAACACATTTAATAGGAATACTATTTGTCTTTTTTTTACATCGTATTGTATGATATTAGATTCTTGTAGATTATTACACAATTAACGAACTCTTTGTTATGATATTATTTTCTGTCGTTAACTTACATTGTCAACCTAAACAAACGGTGAACTAGTTAGTTTGGTGGTCTTCTCAGACATATAAGCCATCTGTTTTCCGACTTCCCAAACAGTGCAATAAATCTTCCTGTTTTAGATTTGTTTGAAATAAGCAATTATAATTGGTAGTGTATGTACCAATCATTACGATGTTAGATGCTAGAAAATCCAATTGTAAAAACTTCACATGTTGTAATATTTCCCTTTTTCGTCTGTCATTTGAAGAAATGAGAGACGAAGACATTGCAACTCACCAATTTTCTAAATAATAGATGAGATAAACAGATTTAACGATTGATACTGTAAAAACGTCTGCAATTGCTGATGGTTACTAGGTACTACTGACTAGTTATAAAAGTATTTTTGAGTACTTAGAATTTTGATGCAGTCTGAAAAAAAATGTGTTGCATTATTGCACAATTCGATGCTGAAATTTTTCTACTTTAACAAGATTCGCGGTATTGAATAAAGCAATTATCATTGACATAGGAATGAGCTAATTTTGTGGAACGAAAAATATAGTTACATTCAACTGCCATTTGTTGGTACACTTCAAACCCATATTTCCAACTAATGACCGATGGAATTTAAAAAAAGATCCCCAATAGTTGAAGTCATACATAATCCTGTCAGTATATTTGTTTTAGTTCTTTGCATAAACAATTTAGAGAAAACGAGAATTGCAAACCAAGGCATCACCATTCCAGCAAGTCATTGACTGTTGGTAGGTATAGATTACCTGTGTGGGATCCACATGATTATTGTATTCAATGATTGAAAATTTGGTGTAACACGGCTCATAATCGGTTCCTATGACTAAATTGTATTCACTATCGAGTTCTAAAATTATCTCATACTTCTGTACTCTATAAATTTATTCATTTGTTTCGAATCGTATTGTCTGTGTCTGATTTCGTTGATTATCAATGATACTATTGCTAATTCTACTACTCCGGCATTTCGTTAAGTCGATGTGTTGTGGCAGCTTGAACTTTGAACATATGTGCATGAAGTTCTACGTTGTGTTTAATTAACTGAAGCAATAATTACTATAACCAATTATATCGAGATTGTATTCTTAGTTGACTATTATCATAAATATGAGTATTATTAAATTTTCCTTCCATCATATTTTCATCATAATATTGTCATTCTACTGTATATAAAACAATAATGGCGACACATTATCATTTGTATTAATTTCGTCCTAGGAAGTACTACGTTTTGAAAAAGATTCCGTTCTGGAGTTTAATTTTCATAAAGCCTATTTACAAGTCCTTGTGGTACCCACTAGGCGAGGTAGGTTAATCATTATTATTATTATTATTATTATTATTATTATTATTATTATTATTATTATTATTATTATTATTATTATTATTATTATTATTATTATTATTATTATTATTATTACTGAAATAGTCACACCAATAAACACCAAAAAACATCAGTAAATCTAAAATTCTTTTCACGTTATAATTACCAAGATGGTGTATTAAAAGGCGTTTGATTTTGATAGTATCTATCCATCTTAAATGGAAGCATTTGATTTGATAAATACTAAAGTTGATTCAATGTGAACTTTAACACTAAAATAAACCTACGTTCAACTGATGAGTCCCATTCCGCTATTCACTATCCGAAAACAACGAAAAATATGTGGTAACATTCTTTTGACAGTTTTCTTTTCATTTTCTGTCGATTACTTTTAAGTTGGTTAAAAGTCAACTAAGTTACTTTTATCTATTACTTAAATTTAGACTATATATATATATATATATATATATATATATATATATATATATATATATATATATATATATATATATAATTTTTGTAACAAACCCTTTTTACTTAGCAATGTGGAACATTAATAGCTGTGATAAACTGCCGAATGTTCACACTAAAAACAGGCTATAACGGACTGGACATTAGATTCTAAATTGATCACTAGATAATTAAATCAAGAAGATTAAGCATCAGTTCACTAGGCTGCTAATCACATGAACAGACTCAATGAATCCCAATACTTGGTCACTTGTTTTACTAAATTTAATTATTCGATCAACACTCAGGCCAAGATATAACCTGGGATCACAGTATGCTATCACACAATTTAAAGCAGTCAACAAATGAACTCAAAGTAAAGGAAAAATAGAAATCAGTTTAACACATAAGATAGATAGTCATCTATATATTCGTCTTTGCTCGTTGATCAATCACGACTTAATTTCATCTGACACATCACACCTAAAAAGTGATATCAGTTATCCACCACTGATACCATATTGTAAAATATCAAGCTATAATTGAATGATACAGTGACTTCTGTGCGGTGCTCTGTTGATTCTCAACATTTTTATCTAGCTAACTTTTTTGTTTGAATTAACAAGACAAATCGAAATGCGAAAATTTTGAAAGGTTTTTGGGTATATATATACTTATGTTTATTTATCAAGCAGTTACTTGATTGTATCTTTTTTCTAAATGAGCTTTCATTTGATTCATTATTTCTTGCAACATTTTTCACCGTTTGTAAATTATATTTGATTAACTTTTACTGTGATACGTACCACAGATGTTATTGTTAAGTTTCTATCGAAATCTAACATCTATGGTGGATACGTTATATAAATCATCACACCAATTCCTTGAGTTCAATATAGTGCTAGATACTTGGCTGGCTCTGTTTTTCTGTTCTGATTGCTGATTCGAGGAGAGGTGAAGTCGGTGTGCGTTATCAGTCATTAGCATTTCTTCTAAACTATGTTGATGTGGTTGGCGAAAAAAAACCCATAACATGTATTCTGTCCCCATTACGAACTCTACTCATATGATGTAGTTCTGTACTAACTAATTAATTGAATAACTATTCAATATTTGTTAGAGAATCATTTCTGGATAATTATCTCGTAGTGAGCATAGATACAAAATGACCATCGATTATATCATGTAGGTGTTTATTATTTAACACTAGTGATTTTCTTCATTCATTTTTTATCAATCTTTTTTTCATTATCATACACTAGATACATGTTCAATTGATTGGGATTTCATTAATTTAGTGCTTACATCATCTTGTGATAAATCTACATGTCATCTATTACCACGTAGAATGAATGAAATATCTGAAGAAGAATGGAAAGAGCACACTGATCAAATTAAATTACAAGCTGGTGTTGTTACTAGTAATGGATCAGGTAAAACATTTAACATTAGCAACACCCATCATCATCATAATCGAACACTTGGTGGTGACAGTGTTGCATCAATCCTAGTGAATCGTTTACAAAAGTCAGGTATTGTTGAGTCAAATCCAGTTAATAATAAACCGGGTATATTTGAATTTCGTATGGAAGAATTCATCAACGCTGTGGTTACACCTGGTTATCGAAATTTAGATCAACCGCAATATTATTATGTTTCAATAATAAGGTATATATATATTGCATATTTTTGTGCTAATTATCATTTATGAATTCTGACTTAAATGGTGGTTAACGTAATGTATGTAGCAATTATTTCGTACCCTATACTATCTTGTCAGACTGTAGTTAGTGCCGTAACGTGTTTGGGCTTGAAAATCGTGACAACTCAACCGAGTTATGTTGGTTGAAATATTCACTCCTCTTGGTCCTGCCAGATAGATTGAAAAACAGTAAAACTAAGTCAGCAAACTCAAGGCTCAAGAGTGAAGTTGTACTGTTGACGTTACATGGGTGTGACTACAGTATTGTTTTTTCTAATATTGGGCATCTGCAACAATGTTGTTTTCCCACAATGGAAGGAAGGGGTTAGAAAAGGTCGACCCTAAAATACACTGTGAATTTTCGTCACTGGCAGTAAGGTTTTTGAAGTACAACACTAGCACATCAAGAACCAAGCGCTAAAAAACCATATGTGACCGACCTCAAGCAACTGTTCTTTAGACTCTGCAGTTGTTCTCACCGATCTCCAAGAACACCAGAAATTTAGTTCACTTCTCAAATGCCTCAAGAAGCAGTATCCTTCCATGGTCATAGCAACTATGGAATAGTAACCACACATGCTCAAAACAACACTCAAGGTCAAACTATGGCTACGCCTTGTTTTATTTCGCTATTTTATATTGATATTGATATGATTATTTGAGTTTTCCTTTTGTTAATTTTTCTTGACTACTAATACAAACTGCTTTAACATAAACATATATTCGGTTCTGGCTTATCTTTGTCTACCTTATGTTTGTTCAGCTCAATAACCGTGTACTCTGATTTTCAATCCATGAAAAAACTTGTTACTTTACAAGCTTCAATCGTAACTATTCATTCTCGACTTTCATGGAGCTACTTCTGATCTGTTTATTATGAATTGTTTTACATACATTTCGTGTTTTATCTAACTTCTTTTATTTGACCCGCTACTGTCACGAATTATTATACAGAGTATCTGACCCAAATTTGAGGATAAAGATTCATGTACATTCACTGTAATAATCTGCACAACTGTCCACTAATTAGTTGTGAATACTTACCTACATACGCTTGTTACCCCTCATGGAGGAGCATAGGCCTCCCACCAGCATTTTCCATCCAACATTGTCCTGGGCAATCTTCCAGTTATTTCCAGTTGCTATTCATCCTTTTCATGTCTGCTTCGAATTCCCGATGCAATGTATTCGTTGACCTTCTTCTTTTCTACTTCCCTTCAGGATTCCGAGTTAGGGCTTGCCTTGTAATGCAGTTCAGTGATTTCCTCAATGTGTGTCCTATCTACTTCCAACGCCGTTTACTAATTCACTCTTCAGATGGAAGCTGGTGGTATCTGGCCTATGGATATTGAGTATCTTGCTCAGACAACTATTTATAAATACTTATACGTTCTTGATGATGGTTTTAGTAGTTCTCCACGTCTCAGCTCCGTACAATAGGACTGTCTTGACGTTCGTATTGAAGATTCTGACTTTGATATTGGTTGATAGTTGTTTCGAGTTCCATATGTTCTTCAACTGTAGGAATGCTGTCCTTGCTTTGATAAACCTTGCCTTTACGTCTGCATCGGATCCTCCGTGTTTATCAATGGTGCTTCCCAGGTATGTGAAAGATTCCACATCTTCCAGAGTCTCTCCATGGAGTGTGATTGGGCCCATGTTCTCTGTGTTGTATTTGAGGACCTTGCTTTCTCCTTTGTGTGTACTGAGGCCTACTGATGCAGAGACTGCTGCTACACAAGTTGTCTTCATCTGCATTTGTTCGTGTCTATGGGATAGGAGGGCCATGTCATCAACTACCTTCAAACCACCTAACAAATCATTATACTCATTAGTTCTAAATTCAGTACTGTGGAAAGGTAGTTTAGTAGGTGAGGCATTCGATCTTCAGCCACCAAGTTGCAGTTCTGAATCCGCTTGCACCTACTTCGGTTTGGGAACTGAGTAGTATAATTAGGCCTTGTACTTGGAGTGTTGCTCACAACCTACCATGAAGTACTTGATAAATGAGTTAATTTACTTATTCAGTATAACCTTAATACTACTGACCTAGTTGTGCTATCAATCATGGTGATAACAATGATAACGCTTGCAAAGTGTTTATCTTCACCGCAACCTTTTTATTTCATTTATTATATGTATCTAGTTCATTAGTTAATAAATGGACTCATTCTATCCGATTTAAAATTAACTTAATTTGTTGTGGACCATTATTCCTCCAACTACTTCAATTTTTGAGAAGAAATAATTGATCTATCGTTATATATACTTTCTTTTCTGTTATCTTTTATTTCTCATTACTTTTCATTACTCCCTATTTATTACTCGCCCCGGTTTTTTCCAATTATTAATTTGATACCTAGAAATGATATGAGTCCGCTATCACCATTTCCATCGGATAAGTTTCGTAATTTCGCTGCATACTATATTAACAAATATAATGCTTTAATTACAACAAATAATCAACCATTGTTGGATGTTGATTTGACAGTATTGCGATTGAATTTATTAATACCACGTTATATGAATATATATGGACATAATAATACTAATGCTAGTAATAATAATAATGGTGATACTAATCATTCCAAATCTTCTAATAATGTTTATACACACAAACAACACTATTGTCAACAACAAAATCATGATGATCATCAGGGTGAAGATCTTGCAAATAAACAATTATTAGTTCCTGAATTATGTTTTCGACATTCATTTCCTGCCTCAGGTTTGTTCTTTTATGATCATTCTTTCGTTTGTTTTTGAATGACTATTTACCACAATCTATCCGATGAGTATCGCAAATTGACAGGAATTCTATCGATTTCAAACTACGTCCCCGTTATTATTATTATTATTATTATTATTATTATTATTATTATTATTATTATTATTAATGGCTTTATTCAATATTATATTTTGGTACAATATAGAATTCTCAGCACAGGGTTTTCAACAAGTTTCTTACACAAAAAACATAAACAAAGGCAAAAAAGGTTAAAAAATATCTAAAAAACTGTACAACTTTTTAAATTAGAGACATGTTAAGAATGCAGGTTATTGACTAGGCTAACTCTAACGACCTGTTCGTCACAGAGTATATTTGCTAGGTAAGGTATTATAGAACTTTTATACTTTTGCTTGCGTGCATGGATTTTAATGTAATTACGTCTCGTTCTACCAGAAGATATACAAGGAGAAAGATAAGAGTGAAGGGGGTGGTTAGTATCTGATAAAATAACACTTGCCAGGAGTTTACATGACTTCAAATGTCTATCCACAACCATATTAATTATGACGTCAAAAGATTCACCACACACCTTGCTAACTGCCTTCAGCACTCTCCTCAATACAGCAAAGTCCTTTCTCAAGAGCTCGGGAAAGAATAATGGAGAACAGTAAAGAATAATAAACAATATGCAAAAATCGACAAATTGTAAGAGTAAATGGTGAGTAATCCCAAGAGCATGCAATCTCTTTATGTAGTAAGTCAGACGGAAAACCTTCGATAACAATAAAACGTGAGGAGACCAAGGGTGTACTCTTCCCATACTTTCCATATACTTTAGGTAGAACACGAATTATACAGTGATCTGAGCTAGACAATGGAGCACGTTCAAGAGTCACATATATACCCACATCATTAATGAAAATGAAGTCTAAATGAGCACCCAAATGAGTAGGAAAATCTACTACATTTTGGTGACCTAGTGACGTAAGGAAGCTACAGTTACATGAATTGAAAGCACCACATACAGCTGAACGTGAATCACTGAAGGCAGTAACAGCGAACTCAGTGACTTCATCAGCGAAAACAGATAGCGCAGATGATGTGCAGTTTGGAGTCACGTAGATATTGATAACATAAACATATTTATATTTATTCAGATGTTTTGGACGACATCTTAGAGTTAGACAGTCGATAAAGTCTTTTGAAAACTTGAAACACGCAAACGAAGATCGACACCAGTTCACATTTACAAACGTAGATAAACCGCCGCCACACCTCTTTTTATTGTTTGATCGATCCTGACGATAAATTTTGAAATTACGTAGGCGGTCGCCCTGTAAATCATTTAACCAAAATTCTTGAACTGTGATGATACCACAATTACGATACGTATTTTGACTAAGTAGGAATTGACGATAGTCCACTTTGTTGATTGTTGATCGGCAGTTAGAATTTAGCATCTCGGGAATCGACATACAATCATTGTTCATTCTCTTTAACGCATATTGCCAACCACCACGATTTCTTTTATAGTACGTTTTTGTAACTTGTGCAGCGAAAGGTCGTAGGATTTTCATAAACGCGCCTCTATATGTTATGCGATTGATGAACATGATGAGACGTTAAAACAAAATGAAAAAACAGATAACTTGTTGAAATAATTGGATGGCAGAAACAGGTAGCCCAGATATTCAAGCAGTCCGCCGATGGACAATCTGCATGTCCTATCTTCATTTTCATTACATGACTGAAAGTCTTTAAACATCAAAACATTCAACTACCTTGTTGTTTCATTTTTACTAAAAAAATATAACCTTATGAGCTTAAGTATCCAATAATTAGGGAGAAATATAAAACATTTAACTACAGTCTATCAGAAATAAACCCGAAATGCTAATAAATGTAGTTATGAATAGTGTGACAAAAATGAGTAATTAGGTAGTAGTTACCCTTATCGGGAATACATGTTAAAACATCAATTAAATATATCACTTCAAATTTCTTAGACAAACTAGATTATTAATTCATTAGTATATTAATCTTCACTGTTAAAATCTTAATTATCCCCTGGGAATTAGTGATATAAGTATTTTATATCTAATAAAGTGTCAATATTGGAAGTATTTCTCTATTTGTTTACAAATTAATATGTAAAATTTTGTGTGCAAATCATTAGCATCATCCATATTTGTAATGCTGAAGATTAGTCAATTTGTTGAAGTAAAGTTGTGCAGTTTAAGCAACTCAACTTATCTTCTGGAAATGGTATTCTCCTAGCTACGAAAATCACATTGAATTTTTTAAATCATATGATGTACACTGTGATTACATTTATCAAATGCCAATTAAATATGTTGATTCTCTGTTCTTTTGGTTTTTTCCATTCTACCATCTCTAGTATGGCGTAAAGCTGTATGTATCCCAAGTATTTTATATCGTTTGGAACACTTATTATTAGCTGAAGAATTACGTCATCGTATTGCTTGTGAAACGAATTTAGGCTGTGCATATTTACCAGAATGTGATAAAATCTTGAAAGATGACTTTATCAATTTGTCTTCACATTACAACAAGAATGGTGATGACAATGATCCTGATAATACTTCCTGTTTATTTGATTCATTAAATATTCACCTGCCTATTACACCAGATCATGTTGTCGTAAATAATGGATCGACCAGTAGATCTAATACTTATAATAATAATAATAATAATGAGCAAAAATCTACAAGAGGGAATTCGAAATTTCTGGGTAGTGGCAGTGGCAAAAGTCGTGGTGGTCGGCGAAAACAAAATTGTCGTAATATGAAAAGAGCTAAAAACCACAATGTTATCGGTACCATCAATAAGGTGAATGCAATTGAAAATGATCAGTCAGGTATTTATATTTTTGGTCACTTTTTCAGTTATTATTATCATCATTATTGTTACTAATGGAAATCAGCATAAAATTTAAAGAACCACCAAGTTCAAAATAATAGTTATGTAATGAGGCGAAACAATGTATTTGTTAAATAAACCTGAAACTTTACAAACAAATTCTTCCTCTTTAATGTCTCACATCAACTCAGATCCTAAATGCTGTGAAACTACTCGATCAAATTTAGACGAAAGTTCTTATATAAATAGTTATGTATATCTAACTACAGCCTAGTTCGATGAGCAATGTTTGCTAGTGTAAAAGTAGGTTAGAAGAAAATTAAAGGCGATCAAATTGCAATGTAACGTCAGCCCATAAACTCATTAATTGTTTATCTAATCTATATTAGTAAATTCAGACTACCTGGTCGGAATCCGCACTATAATCGTGATCACAGGTTGACAATTTTGAATGGTATAACTTAAAATTGATTACAATAGGCAAATATATCCACATTTTATCGTGCTATAGATCTTGAGTCCCAGTATTCCTTCATACAAACTTTTCCGTACCATATTCTTAATCTACAGTTTTTCTCCTTATCATTACTAGTACATTATTGTTTGAATTTTTTAAACTGCTCATTCTGTTAATTTCATATCATTCTAATGTGTTAACAAACACTTCTTCTGAGTTCTAAGTTAATTATGATTAACATTGGTACATTTGTAGCTTATTCCATTCTCTTTAGATAACTAAATTATCTTAGAATTGACCAGTCTCCTCATTCAAATAAAAACACAGCTTATCTATTCATTTAAATTAAACTGTGTTATTGTCACAGTTCATATTTGTTTTGTACTGATGGTTAAAAAAATTAATTATATTGGGAAAATATCGGTTTCTGTATGACCGCGATACTTGCAAGATATTTAGCTGAATATGTAAAACTATTAAATCATTTTATGCATTTTTTTAATAATAATGACCAAACTTTACCTGTATGAAAGGGTTTCAATTAGAATATCTTAGGTAAAACATGCGCGCATTCAGAGCGTGTAGAGAAGTAAATTCGGAATCTCATACTGTTTTGTTACAATAAATATGCCTTTCTTTTTTGTTGTTATATAGATACATGTAAATTAAACAAGAAAATGTCTACAATTGAATTGAACGAAAACAATAAAACTGAATCATCATACTATACAATGTCTAATAGTAATACATCTACTGATCAAATAAACAATGAACAAAATAATGTAAGCATTTCAAGTGACAATGAAAATAATGATATTTGTGATGATGATCATGGTGACGATGATGAAGATCATCGCAATTCTATCGATGCTGAAATCAAAGAAAATCATGATAGCAGTAATGACAATCTCGTTGTTGTTAATGATGATGATGGTGATAATGAATTATTATCTGAAAAACCGACTATTTTAAAACTTCATGCTACTTCAGCATCAATGGTTCATAACAATAAACATCGTCACCCGTCGACAATGCATAAATCTATGATAAACAGTACTACCACAGCGTTATCATCATCATTATCATACGATCATTTCAGTTTATCAAATGGAAATTTAGAATCACTGTTACAACAAACGAAGGTTATTGAGTTAAATGCAAATGGTAGGTTATTATTTGTTCAGCCCATTCTTTATTATTATTATTATTATTATTATTATTATTATTATTATTATTATTATTATTATTATTATTGATTGATTGATTGATTGATTGACATTTTCTAGTCATTATCATAATCTAATCACTATGACATGAGTGTCGTTTCACACTGAATCAATTTCATTTTCATTCTTTGATGTTGATCTATCAAAGTAACTGGCTTAATCATAGTAAATAATGTAGTCTTTGGAATTAATCAAGTCACGAATAAGACACTAACTCGTTGATTTTATAGTGTGAGGGATATGATTTTTCTTGAAATGTCTTAGTTATTAGAAAGGGTTTAATATATCCGGTTGTTGATATTCATAACTAATGTTCGATCAGTCTTAGTTGGAATATGTGCATTCTGAGCGGACTAACTTGATATATTTATAGCCATTTTGTCACATATTTTTAGGATGCATCAGTTATGTCTGGCAGTCAAATCCAGCAAACTTTTTTCATCCTAATTAGGATTAGATATATAATTTAGTGGATATCTGAGCTCAGTAGCTCAATGAATAACACGTTGGGATTTGATGCGACAAGTACTAGGTCTGTATGTTAGTTTAAACATTAACAGTAAGATTCATGTATATCCATCTGAGGAGTCTTATCATTCGTAAAAACAAATTGATTTAAAAAGTATAATATTAATTTCTTACTTATAGTTCTAAAAGCATATTGTTTCACCATGTAACTCAAAATTCATTTGTTAAACCGTATATATATTCCAAAGTTGTACACTCGTTAATAGTTTCAAACTAAGATAAAATAGCCGTACTAGCAGAGCTACATTGTCTTCAACAGTCCTACTGTAGTGGAATCTACTTACAAGATTATTTGTGAGTAGTATGTGGTGGAACCTGGTGTCGAACTTGTCACAGTTGTCGGACAAAGAGAAGAGTTTCAATGTATCAAAAGCATGGTGTAGACAGAAAACTTGACAATCAAGAAAAAAAACTGTTCGGGTCGCAGAATACACTGAAGAATCCAAATAGATGATCAAAGTTTATATATACGGATTATGTAAATAATTTGTAATCTCTCATTTCTTCCTTCCATTTTCTTGTTCTACACTTCATCTGGTACTGGTTTGTAAGGAGGCTCACTTTGTGATGAACAAAACCTATAAAAGTTTAAGTTTTTCAGTTGTCTAGGAAGTCGGCATTACTAGCGTTCTGTTTGTAAACTTAATAGTTCTAAAGAACACTGATAATCTTTTTTATTTTCATATGATCTAACGACATTTGTCTTGTTTTTTTTCCAAAAAAAGATTTTGTTATTCAATATTTCTGTTCAACGATCTTATTTATGATTTTATTTAGATGCTAATCCGTTAAATAATAGTGAGGATGAAGATGAACTCAGGTTAGTTATTTATGCTATTTCATTAATATCCAATTATTCATTATCCATCTGTTTGCACTTCTATCAAACTAACCCGCTCTTCATTCCACACTACGTTTTTTAAACTCTTTTGGACATACAAATAGAATAAATGAGTCGCCAACTATTTCCCGAATTTCTAGTGCTAATAATCTGAATGTTTAATCTTTTATGGTTTCTCTTTGCCGCTTTTTTTGTTTATAAAGTTAAGCATCGTCTTCTAAATTGTAGAACCCGACTTTTAAATGTATGTTAACTTCATTTCTATAGTTATTTACTGTTCGAATCAATTGTGATCACACAGATTGTTCCTCATATCAAGGTGAATCAAATCGAATCAAAATAAATAAAGTAATTAGTTGATGAGTGACTAATAAATAAAAGACTTTATTGAAAGTCAATTAACAAGTACCAGACTTGTCCGAGGTAAAGACTGGTGTCAGGCAAGGTTGCTCACTCTCACACTTTCTTTTTCTCCTGGTGATCGACTGGATCATGAAGACATCAATATCCGAAGGGAAGAACGGGATACAGTGGACATCTAGGATGCAGTTAGACGATCTAGACTTCGCAGATGATCTAGCCCTTCTATCCCAAACGCAACAACAAATTCAGGAGAAAACGATCAGTGTAGCAGCAGCCTCAGCAGCTGTACGTCTCAATATACACAAAGGGAAAAGCAACATTTTCCGATACAACATAGCATGCACAAATTGAATCATACTTGACGGAGAGGCTTTGGAAGATGTAAAAACCTTTACATATTTGTGCAGCATCATTGATGAACATGGTGGGTCTGATGCAGACGTGAAAGCGCAGATCAGTAAAGCAAGAGCAGAATATTTACAACTGAAGAACATCTGGAACTCAAAGCAACTGTCAACCAACACCAAGGTCAGGACTTTCAATACAAATGTCAAGACAGTTCTACTGTATGGGGCGGAAACCTGGAGAACCACGAAAGCCATCATCCATAAGGTACAGTTGTTTATTAACATTTGTCTACGCAAAATACTTCGGATCCGTTGGCCAGACATTATCAGCAACAACCCACAGTGGGAGAGAACAAACCAGATCCCACTGGAGGAAGAAATCATGAAGAAGTGCTGGAAGTGGATAGGACACACATTGAGGAAAGCACCCAACTGCGTCACAAGACAAGCCCTCACATGGAATCCTCAAGGCCAAAGGAGGAGAGGAAGACCAAAGAACACATTACGCCGAGAAATGGAAATAGACATGAAAAATATGAACAAGAATTGGATGGAATTAGAAAAGGAGGCCCAGGACAGAGTGGGTTGGAGAATGCTGGTCTGCGGCCTATGCTCCATTGGGAGTAACAGGCGTAAGCAAGTAAAATATTATAAACGGGACATTTTTATCTTAGGCTAATAAACAATTCATTTTCTTGTCACTTAATAAACACATGAGTGTTTATCTGTCCAACAGTAAATGTAACCCTATAAACAGTAATTTCAGAGATTATTTTCAAAGATGTCTTTCACTATCTTTCCTAGACAATTTAATCAGTGTGTAATTGGAAAATTATCTTTTTAATACCGATTCGATCGTTGTAAATAAACATTTTTTTATCCTAAAAATTTTAATGCCAATAAGAGACTGGTCAATCGCAGTCCTAAACCACAATGGGAAGATTCAAACAACCCATACATAATTAGTTAAACTTCACCTGGTTGCATAGGCTAGAGCCTATTTGGGCTCTGTATCTAAATGGATAACGCGATGGCGAACGATATTGAGTTCGAGTTCCGCGGTGAAAGTCGACTCTGGGGATTATGTACATCCGGTTGTCGAGTCCCAACATAGGGCGAAACGCATGTCACGGATTCCACTGCTAGCCACCATCCATCTTTGCTTATAATGTTTGTGACTGCAGGCAATTCGCACAGGATGCACATATGCTAATAAGAGACTGAATAGTTGCAGTCAATAGGAAGATTAAAACAAACAATACGAAAATCACTTAAAAATTATAGTTATTTTTTCATCAAAAAAGATTTTCTTTGATTTCAGGGTTGTTGAAAATTTTATTAATATGGATAAAGAATACTTGGACACTGATTCGGATACCGAGAGTGTAGACAGTTTTGAAGGGAATGTTTATTTCTTTCCACCTGAAGATGATAATGACTATTATAATGGTTTCAGTGAATTCGATATTTCAAGACAATTAGTAAGTACAAATCAAAATGAACGTTGTTTGAGTGTTTTTTTTGTCTATTTCATCATTTAGATTTATTCGATGTGCACACATTCGTTTCATCTTTTCATATCCGTATTGTTCTTAGTGAAAAGAAACGCGGTACTCAATAGTCGTAGTCTAATTTTAGATGTGTGAAGTGACATTGCTGTATTCATTTTATATTTTTCTCTTAACTTTTTACTTTTCTCCTGTCTAATGTGTTTCTTTTGAATTGTAGACCTCGTTTTTTATTTCAAATGCATTCGAAATTATTTCCGCTCTTATCCATCTCATTTTATTATTATACAATCCTAATTGGCCGATACGAATTGTAATAACTTAGGATAATGTGAATTATTGCCAGGTTCTGTACTGACCACGAATAACTCATCCTTATACATTCATATAGAAAAATAAAACTTACTTTAAATCCTGTCCTATCAAGTGTTTTCTTCAAACACAATTCTCTAGTAACTGAGTTAGATCAAATATAACATGTCTGTGCACTGTTTATTTGTACATTGTGATAGCAACCACATACTAACGTAAACTTAGTGTTTATTATTGAATTGTTCCTAAATAATCTAGATGTTTAAGTACGAGTCCATGATCAGTAGTGTTCGACATGTTAACAACGGTGATATTTGAGCACTCATTCGATAGCTAATAATGCTCGCGTTATACCTTTTACAAATTTTGTTCAAGAATCAAATAAGTAACTTTCAATGTAGTCGTCTCATCAAACCAGCATCATTAATAAATCTTTAATTGAATGGTTAAAGTTTAGTTAAATGACTCCCAGTTCTCAATAATCCTTCAGATGATGTATATGATTAGTATTGTGATATATGCTACTTTTGTTATTATTAGATTTATCCAATATTATATTCTTGTTACAATATAAAATTCTCAGCGCAAAGTATTTCAATAAATTTCCTTCTCTTATTTCCTGGTCGACCCTGACGATAAATATCGAGCGATCGCCAATTAGATATTTGTAGTTGAGGAATCGATATCTGATTAATGTACATTCTTTTCGAGGTATATTGTCACCAACCACAATGTCCTTGATTGTGCTGTTTCCTAACGTGTACAGCGAAAGGTCGTGAACTTTTCACAAACGCACCTGAATAGGTTGTGCAATTAATTGACATAATGATCTGTTGAAACAAACAAAAGACAGATAATTTGTTGAAATATCTAGATGACAGGAACTGGTAGCCTGGATATTCAAGCAGGCCTCCAATACGTTGACAGATATAAGTAGTATGTGGCAGCAATCTGAAGTGGAATGCCTGTCAGCAAAAGATTGAATTGAAGAGATCAGGGAGGGAAACAGCAGTTGGAATCGCGAATGAACTGGAAGAATCATGGATTATGTACAGGACAACTAAAGGAAGATGTGCAAATAATGTATTTAGTGTATGATTTTCAAATTTACAAAAACATTATATAATTTTGCATAAAACAGTAAATTGGTTTTACACACATGCGTCTTCGTTGGCTACAATATTACCTTCAAAATGAAGACAGTATTGTTAGGAGTGAGTAGTGATTAATCTCGTGTTAGTTTAGTCCTTCAGTGCGGATTGAACTTCAAAGATCAAGTTACATCACGGCCAGTAGTCTGAGTGACTCAACATCGTGTACATAATTTTGAGACGTTAGTTGGTTAAAAGTAGAAAACATAAGACTACGGACCTAGGTATAATGCCAATAGGCTCTTCATTGTGCTCCACATTTTCCTTTTATGATCTTCATATCATAAAACCATTTCTTTTATTATTTTCTGCAACAGGATCTAGAAAAACCTTCAAACAACATTCGTAAACGTGCTTATCAACCTGGACCTACAACTATTTTACAGGCTTTGACAATGTCATGTTCCAATGACTTCATTAATCTAGAACGTATGGAAACAATCGGTGATAGTTTTTTGAAATTTGTCGTCACGGTACATCTCTATCTTACCTATCCGGAAGCACATGAAGGAAAATTAAGTCATTTACGTAGTCGAATTGTAAGTTCTTTTGTGTTCATTTTGGGATTATCTCATGTTTGTTTGTTTATCACATGTGCAAACACGAGTTGTTACTTGTTTTGCCTTAATTACAATAATCCTTTCTGTTTAAGTACCACTGTAAAAAATGCACCCAAACATCATCTTCATACCAACTATGAAATTAACTAGTTTTTATATACTTACTTCTAGACGATTAAGACTGGAACCAAGTTTCCGTCTTTTATTCTCCCCTACTATGTACTTTTTATACGCAAGTACAACACTCTAACCGTAGTATACACCAAGCATTCCAATATGAGAAAAAAAGTCGATTCTTGACAAGGGTGCTCTATATTCTAAAAAGTCTTAAATGTTACACAACAATTCTATTTCTATAGTAATATCGATCACCGGAGGAACATGTAACAAGATAGCAAATCAAAAGAGAAAGTAATCAATAAAACAATAATGTGTCAGTCCTCTAGTACAAAGTTTCCAAGACCTTGATTAATCATAAAACCTACATTTTTTAACAGAATTAAGGTTAGATAATTAGAGACTTTTCTAGCACTGGTGCAACTGTCTTGATCTCTATATATCTCATTTTTCTGGGGTGAACAGAAAAACGCAACTTTCCTATGAATCTTTATTTTTCTACAGTTAACTGTGATATAAAGTGACTAAATGTTTTTTAAAAAAGACATTTGAGACTGTTAGCTTATAAATGAGACAAATTTTCTCTATATCACACTCATCATATTTAATCAATTTATTCTGTCATTATGAATTTTATGGTTTACAATCACAAACTGATCTTTACAAGACAGTTGTACAATATTACGAATTGATCGAAGGTTAGACATGTAAGCCTAATCGATGTAGAGTTTTGGTTTCACACTATTTTAGATTCTTACACTAGAACGAAATACCTATTCAATACTTCTTGGTTTTAATGGATTGTCTAAACAACTACAATTTAACTGATATATATATATATATATATATATATATATATATATATATATATATATATATATTATCAGAATGGGTTTGTGGCGATTTTAGAAATTTTCACAGATTGAAATCATGAGTCAGTTGAAGCTAGACCACCATGGGAAACCTGGAAGCACTGGACGGCTGTTTCGTTCTAGTATGGGACTCCTCAGCAGTGCACAGCCACGATCCCGCACCCCGTGGGATTCGAACCCAGGACCTCCTGGCTTCGCTCGCGAGCACTTAACCTTTAGACCACTGAGCCGGCATCCAATGGTGTTAATGTCAATGGTATACGGTGGCGCAACTTCATGGATTGTTTGGAGTTAGACATTAACACCGTTGGGTGCCGGCTCAGTGGTCTAATGGTTAAGTGCTCGCGCGCGAAGCCGGTTGGTCCTGGGTTCGAATCCCGCGTAGTGCGGGATCGTGGATGCGCACTGCTGAAGAGTCCCACACTAGGACGAAACGGCTGTCTAGTGCTTCCAGGTTTTCCATGGTGGTCTAGCTTCAACTGACTCATGATTTTAATCTGTGATATATATATATATATATATATATATATATATATATATATATATATATATAATATTTTCTTTTTAAATCAAATCATAAATCAACTACAGGTTCTACTCTTTTCCTTTTCTGTATTTATTACTTTAGGTTTGTAATTCCAATTTATATCGTTTAGGTAAAGCTAAAGATTTACAAAATCGAATGATTGGTTGTAAATTTGAACCACATGAAAATTGGATACCGCCTGGATATTATGTACGTCAAGATAAACGTCTTAATAATGAAATAATTAAAAAATCTGAATCTAATCGTAATTTAATAATTTGGTCAACGGATACTTTAATGGATGATGAAGTTCTACGAAATATTGATTTTATTGATGAAAATAAAATTAAACCTATTGAAAATTTTCCAATTTCTGAATGGGATCCAAATGATCCAAAAGTGTTACATGCACAACATTTGTGAGTTGTTCATTTGATTCTTCTTATCGATTTTATGGATAAGAAATAATTGTATTAGTCTATGAAAGAAATATTTCTATTATTAAATAAGATAATTAATGGCAGTGAAAATCATGTTGTGTTATGTTGTGTCTCTCAATGAATTAAGCATTTTTATCGATAATTGAATTCTTCATTTGTCGGTTACATCCATTTTGTTTTAGATGACTAAGTTCTCATTATTGTTCCTTATCACACAGTAAGTATTATATATATATATATCCCAGTAGATGGAATGATGTCTATAAATGATGTATTAAGCTATTTCAAGCCGATGAAAGATTTCACTAATGAACCCATCAATTATGGTCAGTGTCATTTTTAAAAAGATAAAAACAATGAATTTTTATAACTGTACTAATTTGTTTCATTTGATCATGGCAGTCAACTGCTTGCACATGTGCTCTTATTAGCTTGTTTGAATCTTCAGTACATTAAGGAATCTAGTTTGTCCAGGTAGGCTGTGGATTTTGTTGAATTGTTAGTTTACATCATGGACGGACTTTAGTTAGGGAAACAATTCAGAAAATAAGAAGCTCTAGATAGTTGTTTCTTCCTAGTATGAGATTCATCAGGGGCGCGCATTCGCAGGTTCACAGACCTCTCTGTCAGTACTCTAACTCTAGACCACTGAACTGACATCCATAGATTAACATTTCTAATTTTAATCAATGTGTGGTACTTCACAATCATCATCCAGTATCGCTATTGGTGATACATGTGTTACACCTGATATCTAGTTGTTTGGATGGCATTCAACTAAACTCAAATAATCCCTCCCTCACTTCACCCGGATCTATCGAGTAAAAATAGTTGAAAAAACTTTTATATGAATTATATACATTACCTACGATAAGAAACTATCTCTTGTCAATAGATAGTATATGAGAATAGCCTAGAACTAGTTCATGAATGAAGCTGTAATATCTGTATTTTTCTCTTTGATTACTTATTTGTCATTCTGTCCGAATTTCAAGAATGTGCTTATAAATATATGCATTCATTTAGTTGAAGGGGTTTTTCATGAGTTTCTTCAATTTTCAGGCTGCATTCGTCACAGACTGATTTTAGTTTGAATACTATACATAGCCAAGGAGTACTGGACTGGTATTTCATTCAGATATATGACTCCCCAACATTGCGCTCGTCCATGTCTATACAAGTAGTCGAATCCAAGACCTTCTAGTCTCACAGAGAATACTCAAGTACTCAAATCACCTTGTCAGCATTTAGTGTCACAATGTCAGCTTCGACCAATTTAAAACTTAGTGCGAAGATTATCCAATATCATTGGTGACAATTATTAGACTCTTGATATGATTAAATTTCATCAATCACTAATTTATGCTCAAACTTCAAGAATATTTTGAAGACACTCGTGAGCTTATTATTATAGTTCAATTGAAGGCGTTTTTTTCTAGTGCTTCCTGATTTTCAGTTGCATTTCAATCAAAATCAGTAGGTGGTGAATACGACTTACACAAACATTTATACTTATTTTCTAATATGTCTTCATCATCAAATAACTTTAATTACGTATTATTACTATTGTATTATAGAAATAATCAGTATTTAATTGCTATACAACAAGCTATACCAGATAAGTCAATAGCAGATTGTGTTGAAGCATTAATCGGTTGTTATTTAACAACTCGTGGAGAACGCTCTGCTCTACGTTTAATGCAATGGTTTGGAATCGATTGTCTTCAGAAATCAGGTAATATTATATGTGTATTTTTTAAAAATAAAAGTTGTTTCATTTCTAGTAGGGATTGTTATTGACTTTATAAATTATGATGCGTATCTTGTTAACTACCAAAGTACATCCAGCTGACAAGTTCCAAATTGAACGAATCATGCTTCCTGGATTTTACGACTGGTTACATTTCGTCCATTCTATTATTAAAGTTGATAAACCTGGAAGCACCGAAGAGTCGTTTCAGACCGAAGGCCCTGGATTCTAGTCACGTGTGCAGGATCGTAGATGCACGCTGGTGAGGAGTCCCATACCAAAACGAAACGGTCGTCCAGCGCATCCAGGTTTTCAGTGGTGATATGACATCGATCTATTCATGATATCAAACTAATATCATCTTTAATAATCTTTGCTTTACCAATTATCACAGCTTCGTACTTTTTATCATCCCAATACACTTCTCTGCGAAATTTACTTTGATTTTTTAAAACAAAATATTATTTTTTTCCACAGATAATAGTCAACCAGTTGCTGGAGCTCCATGGCCTTTACCAAAATCTAACTATTTAAATACCGATGAAAATAGAGCAAATTTAAATGAAGCACGTTTAGTTTGGAGATTTGATGAATTGGAATCTGCATTAAATTATACTTTTAAGGATCCTAGTCTATTGATTCAGGTGAGTAGTAGTGATAACTAGGGACTGACTAAACTATTACTTCTGTCTATTTTTAAAATGAAATTTTTATTCTTCCTGAGTTTGAGAATTTTCTTTTTTCTAAATGCATTCTTAACAAAGTACTGAATTTATTTATTTCAATCCGCCTAGCAAGACTTGATCACAGCCATATATTTAGGATATTTTGTTTGTATGTCATTACATTTATTTATTAATTTAGACACATAAATATTGGTACAGGGAGACAGAATACATATGCGCCACACTTCATCATTTGCTTCGTATGAGGGCTTGCATACTGCCCGGGCGCCCAAAGGGAAGCAGCTGGTTTTCATAGGGGGCCACTCTGCGAACCTTTGACCAAGAAGTCTAATCCACAAAGAAGTGGAGCAACGTTCGGAGGTGCAGTCTCATGGATGTCAGTGACCACCAATAAGTTCATGCGCCATTTGTTTCCTCGGGATCCTGAAGCCCATATGAACGGCTGATTTGGAGTCAGGTTATCCCAACTCTTCCAAGTGGATCTTCTGTATCTACTAACTTGGTTAAAGTGCCTGACATTTGGTTTTCGTTCTCTCGATTTCGTAAGCAACACCACAGCCGCGAGAAGGTAGTGAGTAGAACTTCCGTGGCAGTGGCTGTATACGCATGGCCATATGAGAGCATTTTGAGAGGAAGAGCTGACTATTCTCATCCACAACGGTATCAGAGCATTTGGGATGAACGGATTGAAACAACACCATTTCATCTGTAAGTTAATGTCACTATAAATAATTGAGAAGAAATTAACTGCACAATTATTTACAAACAATTATCTGATTATCAGTATGGAGTTGTGGATATTATTAAGTATTTGATTGAAATCATGAACCGATTGATGTTAGATCACCATTGGAAACGTGGAAAGACTGGACGTCCGTTTTATCCTAGTGTGGTTGTGGATACTCACTGAAAAAAAGTCTCATACTAGAGAGAAACGGCCTTCCAGTACTTTCTAGTTTTCAATGGTTGTCTAACATTGATCGGTTCATTATTTTGATGAGAATAAACAATCTTTACAATCTTATATTTAATTTCTATATTGTTTTTCCCTCTGTCTATCTATCTTTCTTATATAGGCTTTCACACATCCATCTTATCATCAACTACGTGTTTTATCAACATCCAATGCTCTATTTGATCAATCCAAATTAATGTTTCCAACTGATTTAGATTGTTATCAACGTTTAGAATTTTTAGGTGATGCTGTATTAGACTATGTAATAACAAGATTTCTATATGAAGATTCTAAACAACATTCACCTGGTGTATTAACTGATTTAAGATCAGCTTTAGTAAATAATAATATATTTGCTGCATTAGCTGTACGAATTGGTTTACATAAATATTTTCGTGCTTCATCACCACAACTATTGCATACAATCGATGTATTTGTACGTTATCAAAAAGATGTAGCTAAAGATGATTTAGATTTTATTACAAATGAAGTAAGTTATCATTAATACGAATGAAAAAATATATATATATATATGGATGTGTATATTTTATTCAATTTATTTTTACCAGCTGTAATTGGGTATGAGTAGATATTTCTAAGAAACAGCGTACTGTAAATAATTATAGTTGATCCGATCACTGGATGGTGACCAATGTCAAGTTTGTCTAGTGTTTTAGTGTTGATACAATTCTTTTATTACGTAAGTTAAAATATACCCACTAGTCTGAGTGACTCGAAATCGCATACATTAAAACGTTAGGTGGTTGAAGGTAATTTCATAAGGGATATGTGAACTTACGTTTATCGTGTTAGTTGGTACTCGTTAGCAAGGTATATCTGCAATCCTGGAGAGAATGATGCTTCCTATCGGATTCAAATGCAGGTCACCTAGCTTCCCTTTATTAGTCTTAACCACTAAGCTATCCGGGCTGCGATTCACCTCCTATATTTCTGGAGTATGTAAAACCGATTGATTTCTTAGTAGTAACCAATGTTTGTCTAATTCGTTAGTGTTCATCGAATTCTGTCTATCCGAATCACACAGCGAGCATTAGTTTCTATAATATTGTCTGACGAGCCTCAACTAACATAAAACCATGGTTCAGGGCTTCCTAGAGACGTCTTCCAACCATTTAACGCCACGAAAACTATCTTTTAGACATTTGACATCTGCAGTTTTACAACTCATTCTTACCAGATTACATTATTATATATTTTTTCCGGATCAAAACTCGCGGTATTTGAATTGGGTATGAAATGTGGTGTCTGCTAGGACTATCCAGTTTCTTGGTATCATTATCATGGTTTGATTTGATAATTTCGAATAAATTGAGCAAGAATTCTTGCGTCGTTCCTTTGTACTATTTAAACTTAGATTAATTTTGATTTGGTTATTTATTCTCTGAAGAAGTGGCTTACACTGAGTCACGAAACGCCAGAAGATCTAATTTTTCTACTCATTGGAATATTACAAATATATTATGGCTCAGAATCGGTCACAATGGTGTAGGTGTATATACTCTCTGTCTTCCCTTAAACTATTAGATTAAAATTGCTTCATATCTTTCTTTCTGAGTGCTAATTCTTTCTTCCTGTACTATATCATCATACACAATCTTTCTTCTATATATTACCGCCATTGAATTAACTACTTCTATGAATGTGGTGTTCATCTTGTGCTAATAAGGTGGGGCGACTTGCACCGATACATATATGTGCCTGGTCCTACGTTATAGCTGACTGACTGACTTTATTATAAATCCGTAGCTTGACTAAACTACGTGACAGAGTAGTGAACTTAACTTCAACAATGTAAGTGGCTTGATGATTGTCAAAATCTCAACAGGAATACAGGTTGACTTGTTAAGCTTTACTACTTCTCACTATTTGTGGAACATCATCAGTTGCTTAACCCTACACCTTCAAATCACTTTTAGTAAAAGTTGAAACTACGAAGTGATCCCCCAAATTATGTTACATGTAACATACACTACATCAAAGTAACATCATCGCTTACGTTTTGCTTTCTACTCAATCCTCCAATAGAATATATATATCTATTTCTGATAAACTGTTTTGACATTCCATCGTTGAAACTGACATGTAACACGCATATATCCGGCTAATGATTTGCAACAACCAAATTACCCCCTATATATAATACAGTTTGTATGTATGTTTTTATTTCTAATACTTGCCTTTTTCTCTACTTTTTTTCTCCTCTCATCTTCGCTTGTAAATAAATCCTTGCGTAAAAAGGAAATTGAAGTTCGACAACCTGAATTGGTTGATACATTTATTGAAGAAACTATAAATAATTTAACAAGTTCCAACTTATCTTCTTCAAATTCTTACCCCATTATGAAAACATCAATGACGATGAAAAATCAGAATACACCATCTGTTACCAACACCAGTAAACAACATTGTCAAACTCATGTTCATGGTGATGTTACTGAAGAAGCAGGAGGAGTAAAAGAAAAAGACAATGATAATGATGATGATGAAGAAGACGATTTAGATAATGATGATGAAGAAGAGAAACATGCGTCATTATTAAATCACGCTAAAGAATGTGAATCCAAATGGCAAGAGAAAGATACTCAAGAATTAACTGGTTTATTTGTTCAAAATTCTGTAAGTGGTTTATAAATATTACCATGTAGAAAAAGAGAAAAGTGAATTTTTGAAGTTATCAATTAGCCTTGTGTCCTACTTCATTTTCCTTTCTTTTTCTCAGTTCTACTTTATTTAAATGACAAAAGTGTAGAATTTTATAGATATCCGTGACTTCATAGGACTTCTTTGTGCTAAAGTTACAGTCATTTATATTGGTGTTTACATATTTCTGGAGTCATCTGATGAACAAAGTTTTTGGCTTAATTATACTAACAGCCTTTACAATTGGTCTGGTTTATCAATTACTCAGTGTTTTCTTTCGGATTCAGACGTACGACCTCCTGGTTAAAAGTTGGATACGTCAATCACTGTTTCACTGACTTCTTATGTCTAAAACGGACGTAGTTCCTGCGTGGTCATAAGATCTTGAGTCCGATCAATGAATGGGGTTGTATATGCTTACTTTTGGAGAGCCCTCATACTAAGACGAAGTGTAACTTTTTCATTAGATATTATCATTCATTAATAAAGGTTAATAATGCAGGACGTTTGTTTGATTCTCTTGGTACTCACACAATACTTGATAATATCCAGTAAATTTCCTCTTATCGTCTAGAATTTGCTTTAGCATTCATTTATTTCTTGTTTTTGATTTCATTTGATCTATCAATTAGTGTGAAAATCAAAACTCAAAACCTCAACACCAAACATACGAGCAACATCTGTCGAAATCAAGTAACAATAACAATGCCAACAACACAATTCCTACCAACACCGGTCACTTGACAACTAATCGACTATCAGATGATGTAGAAATTCCTAAAGCATTAAGTGATATATTTGAATCTTTAGCTGGTGCAGTATTTCTTGATTCGAATTTCAGTTTGGATACTGTTTGGCAAATATTCTATCCGATTATGAAAGAACGTATTGGTTAGTTAAACTAGTTTGTTGTGTTATTTGGGAATAGTACCAATTATTCCATTATGGTGATGTATTACTAACTTATTAATAAAATTCACTTGCTGTTGTTTACTTGAATCTTTCCATTGATGTTTAGGACTGCAATTGATCAGTCTCCTATTGGTATATGTGCATACTGTGCGTATTACCTTAATTCACAATCCACTATCCATAGTTTATTGATTTTCTATTCGTCTATTTACTGAGTGGTTAAGGACACAATAATCATATTAGTTGTCTCTCTCTCTCTCTCTTTAGCAAAGCATATGTACAATATTGATAGAACTGATACTCTCCATAGAATTTTTCTTTGATATTCTAATGATTATCCTCGATTTAAATGAATATGTTTTGTTAGATACAGAAGTTTCCAGTAGTACTATGTTCTCTTTTCCATGTAGAAGAAGTCGGCATTGCTGATATCTTTCAAAATGACAATGAAAGACTAACAATCATATAGTCTAAAGAACATAACACCAATAAAAGCACCTAAAGGAGTTGCAAATCTATGTCATCATTTCAGGTACTGAATTTTTAGTATGACTTATATCAGATACATCTCCTTTGTTGACAGCCCTGTTGATCAGTAAAATAAAATCAATAGTAAATAGTTAGTTAATTTTGAGACCTAAAGACTATAATTGGCTGAATTCATATTTTAATCAAAAGAAAGCAACTTAGATTTTAACCATATTCCTGAGAGAAAAAACGTTGAATGTATTCAGTGACAGTTTATTTTCAAATAAATGAAAATGAACACAAAAGTGATTTTAGTTACTACTGTCCAAGATTAATTAAGTGTTAATATAAGAACACTACAGGAGGTCAGTCGCTACCTGAATAGCTTAATGGTAATGTCTTAGTCTGTGAAGTTGGATCTGAGGCCGTATCTGACAGGGAACATTAGTTCTGTCAAGGTAATATGATAGTTCTACATTAAACATTTATAAAGAACTTAGTTTTCAACACAATTTAATTCATACTGAAATGCTCATCTTGTACTTTATTTTCGTCATCCAATCAAAATAAAATTAAAAATATCCCTATGTTTTTTGTCAAACTTCATCTTATTCTTTGCTATTTATAGAACGATATACTGCTTGTATCCCGAAATCACCAGTTAGACAATTATTAGAACTGGAACCGGAAGGAACGAAATTCGAGTAAGTTTTGAGAAGTAGTAGACAATTTTTAGATGTTCATAAGCACCATACTTTGTATGCAGCTAAATTATTAAGTTACTGACCAGTTGTGGAACCATTTTCTAGATTAAGATATTATGCGTATTCGTATATTTATTTAGAAAAACATTAGTACTTATCTTTTCAATTTAAAGTAGGTGGAATTTTTCCAAAGACATGTCGCTATAGTAACGCACTGGCTTAGCACATAAACACATTGATCTGTTTTCGCGATTCTCTAAGCATTGGAGATGTCCAAAACTCATTACGTTCACACTATCCCTAGAGGGTTGATTTCGTACCAAATCATGGCATTACCCTGCACACAATATCAGATATTACGTTAACTACCATTTATATCAGACGCCATGTACTTCATACAAGATATTCCATAAACAAATTGTCGTAGGACCGGGTTTAGGAGTTTAGTTTTTCAAGTCGTAATATCTAAAAATATAACTCGGTATGTCTACAAGCATGCAGTTATACATGTGTCGTTTCTTCTAGGCGGCTAGAAGCAATCAATACATGGCTCTATACATAATTTTCGTACCAATCGACTAAGTGTAATACAGTTGGGCTGTTTTCTTAGAGAAAGATTATCAACTCAAATTAGTGACAGCTCACTTATCTCCCCTCATAAGGCTAAATATGACCCTTAGGCTAAGTCTTAGTGTTCAATTCCATCTCTATGAGGTCACCAATAAATTAACTTTTTGACACAGCACAGTACATCTAAAGTTCCATTTCAATAAGTGATGATCATTTGTTCGTAATTAGTGAGACTATTTTCATGTAAATTTTTTTCATAAGCTTAACTTAAAGAGGATTTTATAAATTTAATTTATTTGTTTAGGCGGGCTCGACGAATGGTGGACGGAAGAATTTCAGTTTGTGCCCATGTATTAGGCAAAGGTCGATTTTATGGTGTTGGACGAAATTATCGATTGGCCAAAAGCTTAGCTGCTAAACGTGCTTTAAGAGTACTGCGTAGATTAAATCAGCCGTCTCAAACCACACCGGTAACTGCTAATGGAGACTAACATCAAAAATCATGTCCTATTTAAATAAGATGAAACTGTTTCTAGTGAATATTTTCTCACGTTAATGTATATTTTAACATTCCTTGTATATGTTTTATTGAAATATCATTGAAACTGACAAGCTAATTTGACTTTCATCTGTAACTGTACAGTGTAACAATTATTCTGTATCAGTCAGCAGTAGTTCAGTAGTTCCATGTTAGAAGTCAACAGATGCTTAGTCTTCGTTCTTATTTAAATATCCACAGAGGACAATCATACATATTATCAGTGAGAAAAAACCAACAAGCGTTGCATCCTCTTGACTTCAACTTGCTAAAAGCTTTCACGATTTCGTTTGCCCCAACATCTTTTAAAGAATTTAATGATAGCTACAACCAATCAATCTCTTTAAATGACTGTTTTCGCGATTGAGTAGTTTGTCGCGTATTGAAATATGAGCAGTGCGATTTACACAAATGATGTAGTTATATGGTGTGCACATTATTGATTCAACCCGTGAATTCAGAATTACATTCGTCAGCTAAATTAGTAAAACAATGAGTTAAGTATGCCCATAACTCTTTGTCACTAGAATTTTAACGGCTAGAAAAGCTCATGCAAATGTGGGAACAGTTATATTCATGGTTTATGATGTAAGGTGGTAGTGGTAAGTATGTTTCATCCTCGTAAAATTACTTGGTATGCCCTAGAGGGTATTTGGTGCTTAAAACGGAATTCAAGGATTGTGTATGACAAATATGTCCAATTTCAACTAAAAAGGGCACATCTCACAATGAGTTTACGATAAGTCAGATACTTTGACTTACTCCCGTCACAAACAAAGATGACCGGTCAAAGTATTTATGAACTGAATACTTTACATTCCGATAGCAAGTCTTCACCTGAGGTTTTCAAAGAAAATATTTCGTCATGTCTCACTGACTCAAAACATATGTAGATAGAATGTGTTTGTAGACAATGTTACTTTCAAGAGTGATAAATGGACACATATCAAATGGAAGTTGTCTGACAATGTAAGTTATTCAGGCTTCATGGGTAGCAGAATGTAATGTTGATTTAGGAAATAAGTGGGAAATATAAGTCATTAAAATCACCAGAAAAAAGAAAACTACCAAACAAACTGCTGGAATGGGCGAATTACTCGTGTTAATTCATGCTTGTGACCGTATAAATAGTCGATTGGACATATCCATATAATCGGAATCTGTGCATATTCCGTATACTATCCATTATGAATACTGGGCAATATAACTAGTCTTCTAATAGGTTTATGGGAGAAACTGACAGCAACACTAAAAGAAATTAGTAATGCAGCGAATAAGCAACCGAAGACGCTTGGTAGAGTGAAAAAGAGGATCATTGTCGATCACTTTGTCACAGCGTTCTGTTTTGTTGGTGATTTTATCTGCAACGCAACCTAATGTATCGCCCAGTGTAATAACGGTCGTTTATGCGTTCAAGTAATCACAGATTTTGTCATTTCATAATGAATTTTTAAATAAATAACTACATTATGTTATTCATTTGCTCTGGTAGTAATTTTTATTCGACACATCTGAGTGCGTTACGCTGCACGTTCATTGCACGCTGGGATGATATCTCAAGTCATAGTGAGTTTAATCACATAGTTGATTGTTGCCAGATAGACCGTCAGTGCATAATGTTACTGAAGAAAGGTTTGTTGTACTGTAAACTGTTTTTTATGAACAACTGAGTGTAGTCTTCAGTCTGAAAGCAATATATATATATATATATATATATATATATATAGTCTTCTGTTAGGTAAGTTCGACTGGCCTATATTTCATGTTTTGATTTTATCGGTTGACTTATGTTCATTTAACTACTTTGAACAACATGTCTGCGTAAATGAAACAATAATTATGACACTTGCTTAGTTTAGTGTTCTTGGTTGTCGTATAATTCAGTTTAGTCGAAAGAATTATGGTATACTTAAGTATAGTGCTTGAAGCCTGTAACGAAACAGATCAGTTTATTAAGTAGATCTGCCTGTTTTTAATGAGTATATTGATTCAAATCAGTCTGATTAAAAATAGGAAGAAACGTGCCTTTGATGCTGTTGCTGTCATACATTATACGATAGCGATAAGTATGTTTGGTGTTTACTTCTAGACTATACATCTAGCACTGACCATATTTCAAGATCACTGTCATTAAACAGTTTCCCCAGCAATAACATCGGTAGCGGGATAGGTAAGCGTCTGAGCTTTTAGTTGCTCGCAAAACAGCAGTATACAGTCTTAGAAGATGAGTATTCTGTGTCTCAATTAAATGCAGCTGTCTGTGGACAAATGTTAAGAATCTTTTTGACAACTGGGACTTTTAGTTTATCAGACACTAACTCTGCTTGTATGTCTTCCTGTTAAACTAGACGCAGATGCATGGGCATACTTAAATGGGAGGAGTGATATGTGATCTCTAAGAACGTGAGATTAATAACAATTAATTACCTTTATACTCCCTGATCATGACCCTCCGGCTTTCTCTTATGGCCAAAACAGCAAACATACACTACACACTGATAGAAGATTTCCAGTTTTTCAATGTTAAGCTTGCTTTAACGCTCGACGTAATGAGTACAACTCGTCTATTACTGCTATATGGCATATTTTTTATAATAAATCCTCTGCAATAGATTGGTATTATCTGTGACTTCGTCTATAGTTGTTTGAAGTCTCAGTCCTTTCGAAAACAATATTGATATCCCCTACCGCTAGGCACTCGGTAATGGTTTGACTCGTTGGTAGGATATTATTGTCCATAGTACTGAAGAAAATTAAAAGTCGGAAATTGTTTCCTTTCATTTTGCCGATAACATCATAAAGGAGAGTTAGGAACGAACATGTGGACAGTTAGTCACAAGCGGCAACATCAATCTTTTTAGCTAAAAAAAACGAACTTCGACTTTGTACATCTAGAAAAGAAGTAAAATAAACGACAGTCATTTTAAAACATAGGACTAGCCAACTTGTCTGAAGAAATGTATTGACTGGAGTAGCAGTAGCAAAGAGCCGGAAAAAAAGCTAAAGCAGAAAACATTCTGCTCTAACATTTAGAGCATTACATTAACTTCAGAATTTTAGAACACTGAAACACTAAATTATGTAGCTACACAGAAGAAATAACGGAAAAATCACAGGATGAAGAAAGCCGGCCGCCATCGCAAACAAAGATCGCGGATATAATAATTTCCGCTTCATTCTGGTTGGTCTCTAAGCAGACTGCCTCGTTTACAAAATCGAGTTGCGTTTATAAGCAGCCACCTCACTTGTAACCTGATACGATCTTGGTATTATTTCGATACCACGAGATCGCCAACAACTACATCTCGACTACAGCCATCAACTGCCTTCTGATATTTGGCCTGCGAGGAATCTTACTGGTTTACTGGCAGGTAGTCTTCCTGTAGTGGTGATCATGGTCAACCGCGACTCGACGCTACACTACAAATGAACCAATCGCGACTGTAATGCAACAAGGAAAACAGCAAAACTATCTGTAGGCCCTTTAACCGTCCTACAATTAACACCGACGAGAGCTTGAACTACGACCTTAGATGAGCCTCGTGGTTTAGCTTAGGGGCTGGATCGATGCGTCAAATGCCGGAGCATCTAGGCAAGGGCATTTCTACTGGTCCGGATATATTTCATCCTGCCACACTAATAGAAACGGCTTTAATCTTGACTGCACAACCTTGTGTCATGCCGTCATATTCGCTGATACTATTCGATTGGAAGTTTCTACTTACAAAATTTGCATAGCAAAACTGGTGGGGAACACCAGTTAGAATTCGTCCTCCCCTAATTTATGCTACCACCCCTTTAGTTAGCATACTAATGCAAACGCAGTTGGAAATCAACACATGCATATAGTGTATCGGCAGAAATATTAGCCGACTTGCTAATTCAGACCAAAAAGGTGCTTAATTCAGTACTTCTACAATGTTGATTATTTTTCTATTTGCTTAGTGTTAATCTAAGCACAAAATATTCGTACTAATCATAAGTTCAACTAATAACCAGTGGTTATTGCTATGCATTTTAATGCAACTTATCGATATGACGTCATAATAAATTATGATGATTAGACATATTCGAGTTATCGTACTGACAAGGAATTTCTGAAACAGTGAGATTTGAACTAGATAAAACTAGATGAGCATAAACAAACGTACTGTTTTCGGAATACGTAGTCAGCGTGCGATGAAGTACAAAGGATCATTATTTCACACAAATAACTTATAAGTCCTTCTTCATCAATGTAATTCCACTTGTTTCAGCTCTTAAATAATATTTATGTGAGTTTTTAGTGGCCCTTTTTTGACTCCATTTGGATCGTATGAATGATTGTTATTGAATTATATACTTGTCCTCTATCCTTTCATATAATCCACGTAGGTGAATGGCGGAATTAAATAAGGTAAATATGAGAATGGACTATGAATTTGCATATTTTATGCACTCATTGATCTGAACATTCGATCACGGTGTCGAAACAAAGAAGGTATAGTGGAGCAGATTGGAGAAGGAGTGTGAGCCACTTCTATCCAACCAATAATTATAGCCAAATAAAAATAGACTACAGAAATGTAATGAGTAGAACAAGATGTGTACACACATATGCTCATCTAAAGACAGTCAAAATAATTAAGCGAATATGTAACAGTGTCAAAATATTGCTTAAGAAGAATGAGTAAATTGGCTTGTCAGGAGCTAGAATAAACTATTTGGTTTAACTGTGTAAAGGACGTCATGTTGTTCCTCACATGTTTTCATTTTGGGCGTACCAAGATATAAACAAAATTTTTGAAATTACTGCATGTATTTCTCGATCAGGCGCTGCTACTTTCTTTCTGGTTTTTCTTCCAGGTTTTCAGTACCCGATGGACCTTCACTATTGCCTTGGCAACCTCCAGCGCGCGATAATCAAATCAACGTCACATTGATTATAGTGGGAAATTAATGCAGTGTTATCGGTTCTAAAACACAACATCCTTGAAGATGAACTGATGATAACTGAGATTTACATAAAATGTTAAGCAACATAGAGGTCAGAATTAGTGAATATCTAAACGCTTGTTATGTGTAACTTGCTACTCCTCA